TGTCTAAGTTGGTCTATCTTATGTATCAATGCCGGTCTACGTTGTGTCTAAGTTAGTCTGTCTTATGTATCAATGCCGGTCTACGTTTTATGTCAATGCCGGTCTATGTTGTGTCTATGTTGGTCTACCTTATGTATCAATGCCGGTCTACGTTAAATGTCAATGCTGACCTACGTTGTGTCTAAGTTGGTCTACCTTATGTATCAATGCCGGTCTACGTTGTGTCTAAGTTGGTCTACCTTATGTATCAATGCCAGTCTACGTTAAGCGTCAAGGTTGTAGACTACGTCTATAACAACTTATTTTATTTTTGCTTCTACTTATAGGACTCAGACCAGGGTTCACACTAGGGGTAGTCATGGTTGATGGTCATCAAGCCCTGCTGGTCAAAACTGACCACGTCTTTACAATCCTCCCCAAGAATAGAAAATGCAACAGCAACTCTTTTAATTTTTTGGAGCTAAACACACAACGATTTAGACACAATCTCCTGTAAAATATTTAATTTTCCTGAAAAGAAGAAACTGGTTTAAGCGCTTAGATTTAGAGCAGATCTAATTACAACAAAGTGTAATTAATGTTAACCACTTGAGTTAATTAGCGACCTGTTAATTACACTACCACCACCTGAGTCTGTCATTAGCAGAGATCAAGTTGAAAAAAACCACTATTTTAACAATTGGGACACTCTCTCGTTTTTTTTCTCACCCTTTCTCGAACTGTAACGTTCTCAAACGATCTGGTTTATGAGCTCATTCGGTTTACAAAACTCAACAAAAACCTAAATAAATATATTTTTATTAGTGTTGACAAGACAGACGTACGCAAGCACACACGCACGCACGCACACACACATACACGAACACACACATAACTGTCGTTAGCTCTCACTTTTTCTCTCTCCATTTCTCTCTCTATCTCGCACACTCTACTTCTCCTTCTTTTCCTTCTCTCGCACACACTCCCCCTCTTCTCCCCCTTCTCTTTCCCTCACACACACGCCCCCTCTCCTCCCCCTTCTCTCGCACACACGCCCTCTCTCCTCCCCCTTCTCTCGCACACACACACACCTTCTCCTTCCCCTTCTCTCACGTCTTCAGACAGGACAGTTTTCTGCACTGTTGTTTAGCCAGACGGTCAGCATCAGGATAACAGAACTTTTTCATTCGTTCACTCTCTATACCTCACTCACTTCTCTATCTCCCCCATCTCTCGTTACCAGTCGGCTCATCTGATTTTCTCCATCAGACCATCGCTAATCACAAATATATCGTAGAAGCTTTGTTACACATTTCTTGATAAAAACAACAAAAAAAACAACAAAAAAAAAAACAAAAAAAACAAACGAACAAACGCTGGCTGCTTATCCCTTTATCAGAGAGCCATTTAAAATACAGGAGCCGCTTTTATTCAATATAGAAGCCATTTGTAGTATGTGAGTCGCATTCATTCAATCTAGGAGCCATTCGTAGTATCTGAGCCATATTTATTCCATCTAGGAGCCATTTGTGGAATCCACCCGCCACAAAAAAAAATAAAAATAAATAAAATAACCCGTACTATCTGCTCTACTAGTATTTACCCGTCTTCACTACGAGATTGCCTGACCTGAATGATCACAAATTGTTAAGAAAAAAACAAACTTCACTTCTGCCTACTCCACATTGCAGGCGCCCGTTACAATGCCAATTAGCTAAAAACTATAATTTATTTGTTTGATAAAAATCATATTTGAAACGTGAAAAAAAACGACTTTAAAAATTTATTAAACGTACTGAAAGTGACGTCAATGTCTTAATGAAGCTCTCATTAAAATAATAAGCTTGACAAACTAGACGATAGGGGACTGGTAATCAGCGAAATGAGTTGGCGCTGTCCTGGCATAGTTTCTTTATAAAAATTCCAGGCTGAAAATTCTACAATAATTAATTAAAGATTCTAAATAAAAATTGTGTGATGTAAATTTCTAAAATTTTAAAAGTTAATTTTGGGTCCTACTCGTTAAGGTTAGATTGTAGATGTCGCTAATATAAGAATTCTGGCTTCTATTTTTAGCTGCGTCATGTGTAGCTAATGATGTCAACATCGGTAGTTAATGATGTCAGCATCCCTAGTTAATGATGTCAGCATCTGTAGGTAAGGGCGTCAGCATTTGTAGCTAAGGACGTCAGCATCTGTAGGTAAGGGCGTCAGCTTCTGTAGTAAATTACATCAGCGCCTGAAGCTAATGACGTCAGCATTTGTAGCTCAGGACGTCAGCATCTGTAGGTAAGGACGTCAGCTTCTGTAGTAAATTACATCAGCGCCTGAAGCTAATGACGTCAGCATTTGTAGCTAAGGACGTCAGCATCTGAAGGTAAGGACGTCAGCTTCTGTAGTAAATGATATTAGCGCCTGAAGCTAATGACGTCAGCATTTGTAGCTAAGGACGTCAACATCTGTAGGTAAGGACGTCACCTTCTCTAGTAAATGACATTAGCGTCTGAAGCTAATGACGTCCTAATTTGTAGGTAAGGACGTCAGCTTCTGTAGTAAATGACTTTAGCGTCTGAAGCTAATGACGTCAGCATTTGTAGGTAAGGACGTCAGCTTCTGTAGTAAATGACTTTAGCGTCTGAAGCTAATGACGCTAGCATAAGCATTGACTTCAGTGCAAAGTTTGAGACAACGTCACTTTGAATATCCTTTGAAACATCCTATCCCACACACCATTCCCCACCGTTCTATCCACGTCTATCCCACCCTGCTACCTAATAGATATATCAAACGTTATAATCATTTCATACACTGAGTACTCCATTCATCTTCAACCCATCAAACCATCCCTTCGATATATCCATTCACAAAATCACGTAACTTGCATTAAAACATGAATTATTGACAACGGAAACGAAACAAAACTGTCGGGTTTTTTTGTGTGTTTATTCGGCCATCATAAGCACGATCTAGAGTCACGTGATCGATTTGTCGTTATTGTTTGACTTATTGATTGACAGGATGGTACCGCGCCAAGGGAGATAATTCAAGGTATCAGAATCAGGGGAGATAAATTAAATTTGAGATATACGTCTGAGGGGCAATAAAAATAGGTTTCAAAACGAGGGGAAGTGATATTCAATGTATTCTATTCAAGGTCTACCAGCGTGGAGTATTTGTATAAAGGTTGACGTGTTTATTATGTTAATAATGAGACTAGATTTTATTGAGTAATTTCATTTGAAGGGCACAATGACACATCAACTTTGAATGCAGGTCGATACTATACTCAAAGGACTCACAGCAACTATCGCACTCAAAAATGATGATTCAATCAAAGTTACCCCATCCCGGGGGTTCACCTACCCCCCACCACCACCACCACCCCACCTCCCATACATTCAGTTAAATCCCACCTTCTCCCAAATTACCACTTTACTAATTAGATCCCGTCTACAACACACATCTTCCGTTCATATACTACATCGTTCAAAACTTCCGACACCCATAGCAACCCATACTCCCATCCTTCCTAACCCACCCTCCCGCCTTTCCAACCAACCCAACTCCACCCCCCCCCCCCGCCCTCCTCATGATATACATACGAAAGTAGATCACTGGCTGGAACAAAAATATCTAGAAAGTTTTAATTCGTCCTAAGTGGCAAGAATCTTCAGCTGAGAAAAATTTAAACATGAATTTCTTTTTTTTTTTCGTGGTGACCATTGTATTGTTTTATATTTTAAATGTTAATTTCCTCAAATTTTTTTTTTACTAATGCCACACATTAATCTTTCTAATCTTTAATTTACAGGCATTGTTTTGGGTTGTGGCTCCTATACATCTAAGGCTGAAGGGCTTTGAGCAGTAGAAAGGAACGGAAAAACCAGAAAGTCCAGAAAAGAAGAAAAAAAACAGGGAAATTAGGATAAATTTAGCGGAAATATCCGAACAAAGACGCAGGAGTACGGGAAAACCCGAAGAGTCGGGAGTAATGTTCGAGGTAATGCCTCTATGAAACCTCTTGAACGGCAGTCTAAAACTAGACGAAATGGAGCCGGCAGTGTCTAGGCTTCTTGTCCGTATTGATTGCCTACTCGAGAAGATTTGCTAGCTAGCGGAACTTGCTCAAATAATGGAAGAAATTATTGGACAAATGAGAATATTTATTGTTACAGGAGCAGCTTGCTGAAATACGAACTCATTGACGTAGTGTGGGCCGGAGTTAAGAAAGTATGGCAAACCGATTGCGTTATTTTCTCAAAAAGTGTAATTGATTTCGCTCATTTTTATTGCTGTTTTCGGAATTTTTTGGAGTTGCCTGCACTTTGATAGGTCTGTTTTTTAGGTTGCCTGCAAATATTTGGATTATCTGTGAGATGCAGGCTGGGTTGTGTTAATCTGCTAACTGCCGGAGGATTATTTGCTAGTCGAGCGCAGGATTACCTGTCAGTCATCTGTCACCGAGATACCTGAGTGCAATCGTCAGTTACCTATCTGTCGTCTGTTGCTGGATTGGTTGTCGACTGTCATAGATGTACTCGTCATAGAGGTACCTGCCACAGAGATACCTGTGATAGATATACCTGCCACAGAGGTACCTGCCACAGATTTACATGACATAGATGTACCTGTCATATAGGTACCTGTCTGCTCATTGCATTACATACATCCAAATCCTATGTCACACATACGAACACCACTCTATCGTCCGGCAATTCAGTGCCTGTCTGTCACAAGCTAACTCACCTGGGCCGTATGTATGTCAAGCAAGAGGTCAGTCAACATTGCATCAGACGATCCGTCTGTCAACGCCTGCAGGATTAACCTGTTAACACCCCTGCCATTCCATGAAATCAACAACATCTGACCAGTCACGTGATAACCTTCTAGCAACTGTCCTAGAAACACCTGTCTAACCAGTCACGTGATAACCTTCTAGCAGCTGTCCTAGAAACGCCTATCATCTAACTGACAACACGCATATATACGTGCATTCCAACGATACACCCCACCCCGAAGACATGGCCGGAACTGACGTCATGCTGACCTTGAACCACACGGCCATGACGGCCGCCAACAACGTGACCTATAACCCCTCCTACACCCTGACCCAGTACATCGAGACCATCACCATCTCCCTCGTCTGTCTGGTGGGGACAGTCCTCAACCTCCTGACCGCCGGGGCTTTCCTCTCCCGACCCCTCAGGTCAGTAGCCAGTGTGTGTGTTGTGTGTTGTGTGTGTTATGTTGTGTGTTGTGTGTGTTGTGTTGTGAGTGTTGTGTGTGTTGTGTGTGTTGTGTGTGTTGTGTGTGTTTGTGTTGTGTGTGTTGTGTGTGTTGTGTGTGTTGTGTTGTGGGTGTTGTGTGTGTTGTGTGTGTTGTGTGTGTTGTGTGTGTGTTGTGTGTGTTGTGTGTGTGTGTTGTGTGTGTTGTGTGTGTTGTTTGTGCTGTGTGTGTTGTGTGTGTTGTGTATGTTGTGTTGTGTGTGTTGTGTGTGTTGTGTGTGTTGTGTGTGTTGAGAGTTGTTCTTGTGTTGCTCATTCCCTTCCCAGTTGGCGAATCTATGGAGTGTATAGGAATGCTACTCGTAAACATAGAGGTTCTTAAATCCGTTATGGTTAGGATAAAAAAAAATTCAGTTGTTTTTATTGCTAAAGTTTTAGCAAGTTTACAAGAAAATGATAATTATAAATATATAAATATATGAAAAAGAATAGTAGACCTCCCCCAATCCACGCTAACACAAATGAACCGGGAGTGATCTCCCCTAACCTTTCTCGAATATTGTTATATAACACTACGGGGGATGACAGCTCGGGATATAGACATGATTTTTAATCCATTTTTTAATTACTTAAACTTTTTAAAATAAAATAGAATCTCCTAAAAAAAAAAGGAATTGCGCACCAAGTGAACGGCAAACAATACATTTATAATAGTGCGGAATATTATTAGTACTTTATAATTCATATGCGTTTTTTGAGAAATCGGAAATAGCGTAAAATACTACTGTGAAATTTCGTTTATCTTTCTTAAACAGTATTCAAGTTATAGGCTTTTGAAAAACTAAAAGTAGAATAAGTTCCACTTTCGGTTATCGGAAATAGCTGAAAAGTTGATACAGAACTAAAAATTGGATATGATACTTATATATGAAATTTCATCAACCTAGCTGTAACGGTACTCAAATTATAGTGTTCAAATACATACCCCCCCCCCACACACACACATACACACATAGGCCTACACACACACCGACATACAGACATACGGACAAAATTACAAAACTATGTTCTTCCGACTCAGGGAGGTTATACCCGTACCATCATTAGAACCAAGAGCTGTACAGAAAGTTATACCTGTACTTGGTACCGCCATAAGAACCAAGAGCTGTTTAGAGACTTATACCCGCAGAGAAAGTTATATCTGTAACATCATTAGCACCAAGAGCCGCACAGAAAGTTATACCCGCACCATCATTAAAACGAAATATTAAAAAAAAGCCAGTTTTACTAATACCGTCTGCTGGTTCATACGTTAAGGTATCGATTTTGTTCTGACGGGTCTGCTGGTAATGTTAGGCTTAGGATAAGGTTTGATTTAGAAGGTGAGGATTATGGTTAGGGCTAGTGGTGGGACTAGCGGTAGGGTTAAGGTCAGAGGCGTAGCGACCCCTCCCGGCGCCCGGGGCGAACTTTCAGTTTGGCGCCCCCCATATTATATATATATATATATATATATATATATATATATATATATATATATATATATATATATATATGTGTGTGTGTGTGTGTGTGTGTGTGTGAGTGTGTGTGTGCAACAGTCCATGACATTCAGATTAGAATTTTAGCGGCGATAAAATGCGTATTAACATTCTAAGTCGATGTGGAATTCAAATGCATTGTCAAAACAATTCAATCAGGATCCGTAGCTAAGTATGAGGTATCTTTTATTGTATGGCTCGGAGCTAGTTTAAAGACAGTGGAGAATGAAAAGGTGGTAGTAAGGGCATAATATGAGAAAGACAGAAAATAACATCACTACGCAGGTGCATGTGTGAAGTCCACGGGGAAAGAGGAAGAGAAAAAGAATAAGTAAGTCCTGAAGGTAATCATTTGAAAAAGAGAAGGGGGAGGCTGGATTATTAGGGTTCGATCTTCATAAAAATCAAGTGAGTTGACGAAGTGTTGCCTACGTCTATGTTCCTTAGGAAGCCGAAACGAATAAAAAGAAGAAAATCAAAAGAGTTTAGAACAGTGGGTTCCATCGAACCCCAGAGGTTCGGTAAGTCAGTCTCCGGGTTTCCGCGGAGGTCAAGACACACACCCGATTCATATGATTTACGATCGGATTTTGTCAGTGTGGACGATACAACTATTAAGAAGGGTTCGGTCATTGCGGATTTGAAATTGGTGGGGTTCTGTACCTTCAAAAAGGTAAGAACCAGTGCTTTAGAGTGTAGTTTGTAGAAGGTGCAAGCCTATTTGGTCTACTTTTGGTCGTGTCTTTAGAACAATTTCGATAATAATAGGCCTATATTACAATATTAAATCATCACTTAGGTTGACCAAAGTGTTATGAAAAAAATGAATAAAAAATCATCTATTCAGTACAATATACTAATTTTCTTCTCTCTTAAAATTTTGGCAAAGAGTGTCGCTTTACACCCACCCGCTCCGACAGTCTGCTAATTTATTGAACGAATAGCGATACAAGAATCCGTGATATTTAGTTCTCTTTAATGAAGTGATCTAGGTTAGATATAATGCAATTAAGTAAAAGTATCTGATCTCTTACGTTGAAGTTGAGCGAATCGTAAGAATCTTACAAAGAACTAGTCGCGTTATTACTTAGCAAAACTGGGGAGTGTTCATTCAATTGATCTCTTTTCTAAGTGTTAAAAAAGTTATCTGGTCACCGATCCAGTACAAATCCTGCGGTTTTTTGCTGGTGAAAAAGCGCCCCCACCCCACCACCATCTTGGACAAACGTCACTAACTCTTTTTTTATGTTACACAATACGCTTTAGTACAATATGTTTCTTTTTTGAGTAATTCCGGTGTGAATTTTTACGATTTTAGTCTTGGAAAAAGCGCCCGCCCCCGCCCCCCCCCCACCCCCCCCCCATCTAGGAAGCTGGAAAGAGGTTTTTCCGGTCACTGTTTCTTAAGGTTAAACGTTTTACAGTTACTCAATCAAGGTGGAAAACAGTTAAATCAGAATGTAAAGGCTGACAGCCGTTAAATTTCTTTACTTTGTTTATAATTAAAAACTGCAGCATAAAATTAGCTTTTAAAATTATTTTTTACCCCTTTTGGCGCCCCCCTAGGGTCTGCGCCCGGGGCGGCCGCCCTCCCCGCCCTCCCCTAGCTACGCCTCTGGTTAAGGTTTGGGCCTTGATTGTGGTTAAGGTAGAGACACTCAATTTTATCTAATCTGCCTAGCGCTGGTTGGTACTTAATCTGATTCGTAGATAAAACGGCTAGGCATAGTGTTGAGGACGAGGTTGTGGTCATAGAAACAGGTAACTCTACTTCACCTACATTCCAGACAATCAGACGGTCAGCCCAGTCTTGGTATAACATGCCATTAGGCGAGGGAATCGCTGGTTCTCGGCTGCTGATTTAAGTCAAATTTTTCGAATTTGATTTGACGGTCGGACTAAAAAAAAATATCATCCCTCATTTTTTTTTGTACAATGTCATAGCACCTAATTAAAAAACACCGTCTTCGTGCCTGAAAGTTTTCGCAGCGTGTCTGAAACCGGAAGTGACCTTAATTCTCAGCTTCCACTCGAGTTCAGCGCTCCAACAACGCGGCCGGCACCCGGTCCCGCGTCTGCCATAGGCCAATAAAAATTTCTGTTAAAAGCCAACCTGGCCGTCTCCTTGGTAACGGAAAATTTTAATGCCAGTTTTTTGTTGAAACTCCCGACCTGAAGAACTCCCACAGGGGAACTAACTCCGATGTAAAAAAAAAACGAACTCTCTCTGAAAGTGGGAACTGGCAACAATAGAAGTTAGTGTGTCATTGATTTCAGTGATGCAATTTTACGCGTGTGTGCTATTGTTAGAAACATGGCCTATGAAGTGTATGGGAACATCTTTTTAAGAGCGTTCAAAAAATGTGTCTTTGAAGACATTATTTTTTTTAAAGAAGTTTTCCGTCAATGTCGCACGCTTCTGTACAACCCTTAAGGGGGTAGACTCCAGAAGGAAAAAACAAACTTCTTAACGAATAAGCTTTACTTATTTATTTCTGTGAATCTAAGCTAGGGTACTTAAAAGAAATTGTTTGCATTTATCAGGAACGCTTCTGAAAGTGTGATTGTCATGTCAAGATGAAAACAATTTAGAATTTTTTCTTCGAATTTCCAAAATTTTATATGGTGAAATATCATTAAAATTGAATGGTGTTTCACCATTAAAATTTGTTTGAAAATTCGAAAAAAATATTTCTCGAGTGTTTTTTGTTACAAAAACTATCCAGCTGACTGTATCAGAGTTAGTAAAAGAAAGGTCAATGATTATATGATTAATTTATATATGTTATTTTTTGGACCGTGAGACCTCGACAAAAGGTAGTTTTTTTTTCAAGATGGCCACCGTTTCCATGGCAACCATACTTTCAAAAGTGTCCCTTATGCAAAAAAATATTTTCCCTTAAGTACCCTAACTTAGATACACAGAAATACATTCTAAAACGCATTATTTAATGAACAGTTTTATTTTTCCTTTTTTCTAATGAGCCTACCCCCCCCCCCCCCCCCCCCCACCCTTTAGATGTCCTGTCAGTCTCAAGCAATATCGTGATAAACTAACTTACATTTTTTTGTAAGCGATGGCACGTGACATCTGTCCTTGATTCCATCTGCCCTGCCTAATTGTTGGTTCATCTCGACAATAAAAGCTATGGGTGATGCCCTCTCAGTTGACATTGCAAGAATCTTATAAGATGTCATGACGGATCATTGTACCCATGCTTTGAAAAAAATACATTGTTAAATATGCTCTTATTTTAACATTTCCCATCATTTCTAGGTGTACATGTTATCAATAATATAGCACGGTATGGTCGTGTGCTCGAGTTCTCAACTACTAACCCTAAACTCTTGAGTTCGGATACCGTGTTGGAGTCCGTATTACGTCCATGAGTTCACCCAGCTTTGATGGGTATCTGACTCAATGCTAGGGATACTAAAGGCGGCTGGACATAGTGCAAACTACACTATTTTATTTATATTTTAGACAATAGAAATAGATTTTAAGTCTACATGATCGTAACATTTTTACCTAAGTTATCAACAACCCCACGATAACATGGTGCCCATGATTTTAAGAATGCCCTCCGTCCCCAGGGGCATCTCCTGCTGCCTGTACCTGGCCACGCGGTCCCTGGCCGTGTTTGGGTTCCTGACCAGCATGTTCATCGCCTGGACCAACACCTTCATGCCCCTCATCAGCAACGAGGGCATCTGTGAGCTGACGGTCTTCCTCTCCTACTTCTGCCCCTTTCTCAGTGTCTGGATGGTCGTCATCATCACCGTGGAGAACTTCATCAGGATCTCTCAGCCCTCCAGGTAGGTCAAGGCCAGCCCTCCAAGTGGGTCAAGGTCAGTTCTCTAGGTAGGTTAATGTCAACCCTCCAAGTGGGTCAAGGTCAGCTCTCCAGGTAGGTCAAGGCTAACGCACAGGTGAGTCAAGATCAGCCCTCCTGTTTGTAGGTCAATATCACCCCCCCCCCAAGTGGGTCAAAGCCAGTCATTCAGGTAGGTCAAAGTCAAACACTCTAGGTGGGTCAAGTTCAGACGTAAAAGGTAAGCCATAGTTAGCCGCACAGGTAATTCAAGGTCAGTGCTCCGGGTGGGTCAAGGTCAGTCACACAGGTGAGTCATGGTCAGACGTCCAAGAAAGCCAAGGTTAGCCTCCCAAGTAAGTCAAGGTCAGCGCACCAGGTGGATCAAGGTCACCAGTCCATGTTAGGCTACCAAGCTCTTCAGGTAGGCCAAGATCAGTCATCTAATTAGTCCGTCAATTCAATACGAGTTTTAAGGTAAGATGCAAGACCTCGGGTTGGCTTACATTACCTAAATAAGCTAATGTCATTTCTCAATTCAGGTCAAGGAAAAGGTAGGTCAAATAACAGTGCTCTACGTAGGTCAAGGTTGAGTTTTGGACAAAAAGTTCGAGACTGATTTTTATTTAAGTTGAAATATAGGAAGTCCTTTTTAAAAGTCTGACTAAAGTCAAGTCCTGTAAACTAATCTTTGGGTAGAAATAGTTCACAATTAGTAGATCATACCAATTTTAAGGTTGACGGTAGTCTTCAGGTCAGTGTCAAAGATGGAAAGCATATCATAGTTACATGTCAAATGTGTAACTGTAAAATTAAAATAATGCTACATTTCCAACTTATTTTAAACGGATATAGCGTAAAGCGTAAGCGATTTTTGTGGTATCTGAAACAGTGAAATGTAGTTACTGGATTCACATACATTTCATAATGTCTGATGAATGAGTCTCGCGATGTTTCAACGGGGGTCAAACAACTTTTTTTAACTGCTGTGACTGAAATCCAACTCACATCCTTCGCATCCCAGTAGCCCTTATACTTTATACCTAAACGTAACAAAGCTGTTGAAAAAAAATAACCCTTAGTTTAAGATCAGATATTTAGTGGATAAATTTCAATTTTTGTTACTGCTAAGACTTAAGTCTATCTCTCATCCTTAACATCCCAATCGATAAAATTAAAAATAGCCTTTATACCCAAACGGAACAAAGTTGTTGAAAAAAACTTACCCTTAGTTTAAGATCAAATATTTAGTGGATAAATTTAGTTACAGCTTATGCTTGTCTTGATCGCCAAATTCGTTGGTCAGAAGATAACAAATAACTAAGTCCATTACAGTAAACCCCCAAAAATACGAGCATTGTTTCGCCCACTAATCCCCATCACAGCTGATCTTAAACCTGATTGGATGAGAGGGATGAACGTCACGTGACTCTATCCGTCCCAGAGTTCCGGGTATAAATCCGGATTAGAGTCGGAAAAAAAAGTCTGAGAAAAATGTCCGTCCGCGAGTCGTCTGGGTGAGTTTGTTAGGATAAGCTTGACGGCCGGCAGACGTTAGAAGTTTATGTCGTCTGATGTCTAGAAACAGCGGGAAAACGAGCCGGTCACATTTAGAAATAGGAGAGTTGATTGGGGGGGGGGTAATATAATTTTCATGACTTTCCTTACCTGTCTGGGGTTTTTCGTCCTTACGAAAAAATCAGTTTCCTTCTGGTAAAATTGTAATCAATTTTCGCTGTGTGAATTACATCACTGCTTTAATCACCGTTTTTACCAATGTTCTGCTAAAAGTCTCGAGTTCGAAATTCGGGTTCAAGTCACGTTAGGAAAACCAAAAGTTGTTAGACATAGCGCTAACCACATTATCCTTTTGTATGCCGGGGTCCCTGAAACAGATGAACTCTACTTCATCTGCCCCATGTGTCACGGGAAAAGATGATGAATAAATTTCAGCATCGTTTCAGTCAAAGGGCTAATTTATAAACTGCTAATTACTGACGCTTGGTCAGCTGACCATCTGACGTGACCAACCGATCATCATCTCGCATCTCATTGGTTCCTACCTATTCTAGCTAATCTTACCAACTCGCCTGCTTGACTTCTGGCTATTGTACATTTTCTCCGTTCTGCTTGACCTACTTATATAGCTAGCCTAACTAGTGTCATCCCTCCTATCCTAACCAGTCCTAACTTTAACGCTAATCTAGACCTATCCTTATCCTAACCAGTCCTAACTTTAACCCTACCCTAACCCTCTTCTATCCCCAGGGTAAACCAGCTCTGCACCCCGCGGGTGGCCAAATACGTCATCGTCAGTTTTGTACTGCTGGGCCTAGCGGTGAACAACTTCCCTTTATGGACGAGCCGCGTCATCAGAGGCTCGTGTGACGTATGGCCGGACTTTCACGAGGTTTGTATAGGCAATGGTCAGGGGAGACAATGTTATTTCACGTACCGGAGAGTTCTTTCCCATTAGGAGTTAGTGTTATTTAAACAAATGGAAAGGGAGATAAGTCGTTCAGAAATTTTCGTAGGTTTTTTTTTTTTTTTGGATGTTTAAAAAAAAAGAATCTTAAAATGAATAATCAATTATTTTTATTACGACGTTATTAAAATTTATTGCCAAAGTTAATTATTTATTGCATTTTATTTTTGAGTTTTTTCTCCTGTAATTGCACACGACATGTGGCAATTAAAATGGCGCCAAACGTGCAAATTCTAAAAATATCTTGTCGTCTGCGTCATCAAATGTCAGAGAGAAAACACGGAGCTTGTTGTCATACTCTGGTCTTCTAAAAATGGGGGAATGTGTGTGGGTGTGTGTGTGGGGGGGGGGGGGTGATGACGTTTTACACACGCATCTAACACATCACGCACCGTACTACAACGCCAACCACAACACAACTCTCAACAACGTATCCCACATTTGAACTCTCCCCCCACCCTGCACACACGCAACACTAACCACAACCTACACATTTAAACTAAACACGAACTAAATACAAAATTACAACACAGTTTTATATATTATATAAGGTATCACTAGAACACAACTAAATACAAACATTAAAAGATGACATTACGTTACACACACACACACACACACCACACAGACACACACACACACACACACACATATATATATATATATATATATATATATATATATATATATATATATATATATATATATATATATATCTTCTTCCCCAAAGAGAGTCTACCGCTTCCCCCCCCCCCGGAAATTTCAGGTACCCCCCCCCCCCCACCCCCGTGGAAATTAGTCTGGAAGAAACACTGTATATTTATTAAGAAACTTAAAGTAGTACGTCAACCGGCCTTTCAAGATTCCATTTGTGTTTAGATTTAAAATAAACAATACAAAGCGACGTTTAAACAAATGTTTGATTTGTTTGGCTTACATTTTGCAAAGTAATTGCTTATTTTAATCACGAATCTTTTTAAAGATATTATTCTAATGACGCGGATTACGGTCAAAAGAACGATTTCATTTGAGGCGGTTATTAAATGGGCGATGGTCGACTCGGAGATTAGCTGGAATAGACAGTCTGGGCGGTTAGGCGATAGGGTGAAGCTTATATGGATTCAGACATTGTAGCTGTTACGGGCCAGTTGTAGGTTAGTTTAGAATAGGTTAGAATAGTCTAGAACTAGGGAAGAGTGCCTGTGTGAGTGGAGTTCACCTTACTGTGTAGTTACCCTTGTGTGTTTATGTATTGTTATCCCAAGGTCGAATGCGGTATAAAAGCTGGAGTGAATGGTTGTCAGGGGTTAGTTAGTTGGCAGTCAGCGGGTTAGTAGCGGTTAGGACGAGGGCTGTTCTGGTACGCTTGAATGCATTGAGACGAATAAAAGTAGTGAAGTTAAACACGAAGCGTTGTTATTGATTTGAAATGAACCCAGAACGTAACAACTGGTGGCCAGTATGAATCAAGTAGAAGCATAAACTTGATGCTGTCCTGTCGTTTGCCTGATGCTGCCCTGATGTTTGCCTGATGCTGTCCTGCCGTTGCCTGATGCTGTCCTGTAGTTTGCCTGATGCTGTCCTGTCGTTTGCCTGATGCTGCCCTGATGTTTGCCTGATGCTGTCCTGCCGTTGCCTGATGCTGTCCTGTAGTTTGCCTGATGCTGTCCTGTCGTTTGCCTGATGCTATCCTGATGTTTGCCGGTTGCTGTCCTGATGCTTGCCGGTTGCTGTCCTGATGCAGTGTTACGGGCCAGTTGTAGGTTAGTTTAGAATAGGTTAGAATAGTCTAGAACTAGGGGAGAGTGCCTGTGTGAGTGGAGTTCACCTTACTGTGTAGTTACCCTTGTGTGTTTATGTATTGTTATCCCAAGGTCGAATGCGGGTATAAAAGGGCGAGTGAACGATTGTGTGGGGGCAGTCAGCGGCAAACATCAGGATAGCATCAGGCAAACGACAGGACAGCATCAGGCAAACTACAGGACAGCATCAGGCAACGGCAGGACAGCATCAGGCAAACATCAGGGCAGCATCAGGCAAACGACAGGACAGCATCAGGCAAACTACAGGACAGCATCAGGCAACGGCAGGACAGCATCAGGCAAACATCAGGGCAGCATCAGGCAAACGACAGGACAGCATCAAGTTTATGCTTCTACTTGATTCATACTGGCCACCAGTTGTTACGTTCTGGGTTCATTTCAAATCAATAACAACGCTTCGTGTTTAACTTCACTACTTTTATTCGTCTCAATGCATTCAAGCGTACCAGAACAGCCCTCGTCCTAACCGCTACTAACCCGCTGACTGCCAACTAACTAACCCCTGACAACCATTCTGTTACGGGCCAGTTGTAGGTTAGTTTAGAATAGGTTAGAATAGTCTAGAACTAGGGGAGAGTGCCTGTGTGAGTGGAGTTCACCTTACTGTGTAGTTACCCTTGTGTGTTTATGTATTGTTATCCCAAGGTCGAATGCGGTATAAAAGCTGGAGTGAATGGTTGTCAGGGGTTAGTTAGTTGGCAGTCAGCGGGTTAGTAGCGGTTAGGACGAGGGCTGTTCTGGTACGCTTGAATGCATTGAGACGAATAAAAGTAGTGAAGTTAAACACGAAGCGTTGTTATTGATTTGAAATGAACCCAGAACGTAACAACTGGTGGCCAGTATGAATCAAGTAGAAGCATAAACTTGATGCTGTCCTGTCGTTTGCCTGATGCTGCCCTGATGTTTGCCTGATGCTGTCCTGCCGTTGCCTGATGCTGTCCTGTAGTTTGCCTGATGCTGTCCTGTCGTTTGCCTGATGCTATCCTGATGTTTGCCGCTGACTGCCCCCACACAATCGTTCACTCGCCCTTTTATACCCGCATTCGACCTTGGGATAACAATACATAAACACACAAGGGTAACTACACAGTAAGGTGAACTCCACTCACACAGGCACTCTCCCCTAGTTCTAGACTATTCTAACCTATTCTAAACTAACCTACAACTGGCCCGTAACACTGCATCAGGACAGCAACCGGCAAGCATCAGGACAGCAACCGGCAAGCATCAGGGCAACAACCGGCACACATCAGGGCAGCATCAGGCAAACGACAGGACAGCATCAGGCAAACTACAGGACAGCATCAGGCAACGGCAGGACAGCATCAGGCAAACATCAGGGCAGCATCAGGCAAACGACAGGACAGCATCAAGTTTATGCTTCTACTTGATTCATACTGGCCACCAGTTGTTACGTTCTGGGTTCATTTCAAATCAATAACAACGCTTCGTGTTTAACTTCACTACTTTTATTCGTCTCAATGCATTCAAGCGTACCAGAACAGCCCTCGTCCTAACCGCTACTAACCCGCTGACTGCCAACTAACTAACCCCTGACAACCATTCACTCCAGCTTTTATACCGCATTCGACCTTGGGATAACAATACATAAACACACAAGGGTAACTACACAGTAAGGTGAACTCCACTCACACAGGCACTCTCCCCTAGTTCTAGACTATTCTAACCTATTCTAAACTAACCTACAACTGGCCCGTAACAGTAGCTTTAATGGTAAAAGTCGAATTACCAGAGTGAAGGGTAATTAATCACGGGTGGAGCCCTATATGTCTTCAGAGACGTTGTTAGCTTTGATAATAAAAGTCGTATACCAGAGTAATTGATATTTGAATATGGAGACTGCGTGCTGTGAACATAGAGATATCTAACGTGTAGTTAAGTCAGGTTTAGGTTATGGTTTTTTTGGGTTGAGTCTAGGTTTGAAGTTTTGTGAACCCTAGCGTTCGCAGCTGGTAAAGTTTTGTGAGCCCCAGTGTTCGCAGCGTGGTAAAGTTTTTGAACCCTAGTGTTCGCAGCGTGGTAAAGTTTTGTGAACCCTAGTGTTCGCAGCGTGGTAAAGTTTTGTGAGCCCCAGTGTTCGCAGCGTGGTAAAGTTTTGTGAGCCCCAGTGTTCGCAGCGTGGTAAAGTTTTGTGAGCCCCAGTGTTCGCAGCGTGTTGGCCATACAAGATCGTCGGGTCCGGGTAAAGGAAAGGAATTAATTCTCACCACCACAAATTAATCATTACCGCTACAAAATCAATTTTCACCTCTAGAAAAATAATCCTCACGGCTACAAACTAATCCTCAACTCTAAAAAATTAATCATAACCTATACAAAATTAATTATAACATATACACAATTAATCCTAACGGCCACATGTTTAATAAAGGCCTGACTGTAATTAACAACCGTCATGCACCAGGCGACATCCGGTCATGTGATCTCCTACGTCTCCCCTACACGTGATAACCCTCGTCCTTGAACCCCGGTAACCATGGCTACAGAGCACAAACAGGACGAGATCTAATGAATACATGACGAATTTTAATAAATAATTAAGAGAACTAATTAACGGAATGTTGCTTTCAAATCCGTGTAGAAATTACAAAGTCATATGAATGTGATTAATCGATTAGATGTCAAAGATTTTTAAAATTACAACTGTCCATACATGTGCCCCATGGATCGCCAGGTTCGAAAAGGGAACCGTACTTAAGATACAAAAGTCACTATAGATACCAGAGACTAAATATACTTTCTACAGGGGCGTAGCGAGGGGGGGGGGGGGGGGGCGGGGGGTGCGGACCGCACCGGGTGACACCATTTAGGGGGGTGACACCAAGGCAAAAAAATAGCAAAATATATAGAGAAAAACTCGAGGGGGGGGGGTGCAAATCGAAAGTTTGAGGGGGGGGGGGGGTGCAAATCGAAAATTTGAAAGTTTGTCCCTGGGAAGGGTCTCTATGCCTCTGGGGGGGGGGGGGGGTGACACCATTAAGTGCCGCACCGGGTGACACCCGACCTCGCTACGCCACTAACTTTCTAGAGTGGTTCGAAATGTGCACAAGTAAAAAAAAACCTTCCACGATTTTCAAGTTTCGAAAAAAATATTCTTTCAGTTGTTTATTTGAATTTGAATAAGATTTAAATTAAAATCAACAATTGTAAATTTCGTAATTTTTTTTTTAAAATTGAGGTTCCTCCTGTCAATTCAGCAACCAATAACTGTCAATACTGCTAAAAATAATTGGGAACCTACGTGTTCACCTATTGGCTCGTTAGTGTGTCAACACGTGACGTCACGTAGAGTTCACTCAGGTCAGGGAATCCCCGCGAGAGCAGCTAAATTTGTCCACGACTCTAAAATCACGTGTATGAGTAATTTATCTCCTTGGTGTCAAGCCTATGGTCCCTCTACGCCGGAGTTAAACCGTGTTAAACCCAGTTTAGCATCATTACCAGTCACTCTTCGAGAGGCAGATGAGTCCAAGCACTTGTTAAAAATAGATTAAATTTAAAAGACAAAGCCTAGCTTGTGGGAATCCACCAGGGCGTTGACACAGAAAAGCCGAGAAGTTGAAAGCAATTTGATTAGAATCGTGGAGTCAGGTTTTTGGTGGTTACAACTTGTGTGATGGTCACACGCTGGTGTGATAGGACACAGGACATAGTGGTGTAATAGGACACAGAACACACTGGTGTAATAGGACACAGGACATAGTGGTGTAATATGACACAGGACATAGGGGTGTAATAGGACACAGGACATAGTGGTGTAATAGGACACACGACACAGTGGTGTGATAGGACACAGTGGTGTGATAGGACACAGTGGTGTCATAGGACACACGACACAGTGGTGTAATAGGACACAGGACACAGTGGTGTAATAGGACACACGACACAGTGATGTAATAGGACACAGGACAGACTGGTGTAATAGGACACACGACACAGTGGGTAATAGGACACACGACACACTGGTGTAATAGGACACACGACAGAGTGGTGTAATAGGACACACGACACACTGGTGTAATAGGACACACGACACGCTGATGTAATCGGACACACGACACAGTGGTGTAATAGGACATAGGACATAGGACAGACTGGTGTAATAGGACACAGGACAGACTGGTGTAATAGGACACAGGACACAGTGGTGTAATAGGACACATGACACGCTGGTGTAATAGGACACAGGACAGACTGGTGTAATAGGACACAGGACACAGTGGTGTAATAGGACACAGGACACGCTGATGTAATAGGACACAGGACACAGTGGTGTAATAGGACAAACGACACACTGGTGTTATAGGACACAAGACACAGTGGTCTAATAGGACACACGAAATGCTGATGTAATAGGACACACGACACACGGGTGTGTCATGACACAGGACACCCTGTCGATCAGAATACATGACACACATTTTGACTCACACACCTGACCCAATGTAATGCAGCATTTCTACAGACCACTCACCCTTTCATATTCTATAACATGATGTGACTTAGCATTACAGAGCTGGTAATTGTGTAAGACAGCATCCTTGAATGTTGACAACGATCTCATCTCTGGACGATTGGATCCTTCAAATTTTTTTCATCAATTTTCAAATGTGACACATTTTTTGCGTCAATGTAATTCATTACTTGCTCTTACAATTTTGTGCACGATTGTACAAAAAGCGGGCGCCATTGTGTCCGTCTATTGTTGTGTCATTAACACGAGTGTTTGATGTCCTGTGGCTAACTGGTCTGCTTTGTGCTGTCCTTCACTCTCCTCTTATCCCCCTTTACGTGGATTTTGTTCCAATGACGCAAGGCTCATTTTAGCGTCGCTGTTTTCTTCTAGTGTGAGGTTTTGTTTAAAGAAAACCCTGTTAAGGTGCTGGCAGCAAGCAATTGAGATGAAGTGGTGGTAATATGACAAGTCGACGTGACATGGAGTTTGGACATGAGCGTATGACAGGTCAACGTGACCTCATGTCTGAACAATAGCCCCCCCCCCCCCCCCACATCCACTCCACATATCGATGCGCGTAATCGTAAATATTTCCCGACGAGGGATAAGGAGATCAAGAAGTGGTTCTTCTGTCTTAAATTCTGACTTGATTAGACCCCTCACACACGTACACACACATATACATACATCGACATATATATATATATATATATATATTGATGTATATATATATATATATATATATATATATATATATATATATATATATATATATATATATATATATATATATATTTTTATATATATATACATATATATATATATATATATATATATATATATATATATATATATATATATATATATATATATATATATATATATATATATATATATATATATATATATATATATATATATATATATATATATATATTGATGTATATATATATATATATATATATATATATATATATATATATATATATATATATATATATATATATATATATATATATATATATATATATATATAGATATATAAATATATACATACATACATCGATATATATATATATATATATATATATATATATATATATATATATATATATATTTATTTATATATATATATTTATTTATATATATATATAAATATATATATATATATATATATATATATATATATATATATATATATATATATATATACAATAAATGCTATTGTATTGTGTTTGGTGCCCCCAATATGACGTCATTGACCATCAGATTGTTCTTGCTTCCGTTGCCTGAGGTCAGACTGATCAGATTCTGTGTTTGTATTTAATGTCTGAATCGTTGTGTATTGTTAGTTCTTGTTTACTTCCCTTGTGTTATAGATCTTAGTGATGTCCCTTGAATATCGAGTCTCTGTGTACTGTGTAACCGTGTTGCTGATATCAGTGAGTTAGTTATGAATGAGTCTCGAGAAAAGACGTCACATCGGAGCTGTATGTATGAAATAATAAGAATTGAAACTAACTTAATGGCGTCTACTATTATACCTCAAGTGCTACTAAATAATTTTTTATTATATCTTCCATCTTTTGATGTTGTCATTTCTTTTTGTTGTTTCAGGTTCACGCTGTTTTCAACTATCTCGACGCCATTTTGACGTTGGTTATCCCCCTTGCTCTGATGATCATAGTCGTGCCCCTTGTCGCGGTCAGCGCTATGCACGCATACGAGAGGAAGAAGAGGCTTAGTGGGGACACTGGCCTACGGAACAGGTGGGATTTCTGTAAGGTGGTTTTTAGACGGTGGGAATTTTATTTTTAGCTGGTTTATGTAAGGTAGGAGGGATTAAAGAATTTTAGGTTTATAAAATACGACAGTATTACTGTAACTTTTCGATTTTGGTAACTTATGAATAATATAAATTTTATTAAGAATCTAATATATAAAGCTCAATCGGATTCTGTGGCTCTGTGTGGGACCGAGGACCCTTAACAATAGAGGAATAAAGTAAAAAAGTCGACTTGGTCGTCAAATGCACATAATGTATTTATTATCTAAATTAATGATTTAAAAAATTATTATATGAGGTTATGTCAAACAAGTTTCACTTTCCAAACGTATAATTTTAATTAAAGGCCTGACCGGGACAGCTAGTAGTTTATAAAAAGTGGTAATTTGATCAATGGCATAAACATAATTGTAGTGTGAAATTGTATACTGAAGTCGAGTTTTACTTTAAGGTACATTTCAAAAGGTTGAAACTTTATGAGTGAAATAAAAAATGTAAGATTACTACAATGGTGGGTATTGACGAGAGATTTTGACACCAATTAGCCTTTGACCTCACGTTCAAGTTAACCTTTGACCTCTACAGACAGTGCCCGGAGCCGAAGAACTCCCCCGAGGCCCGGGTGACGCACCTCCTCCTGGCCGTGTCGGTGGTCTTCCTGCTGCTGCACACGCCATTCCATGGGATCAGGATCAAGCTCTTCATCGTCTCCCGTACGGAGATACAGCCGGCAAGGTAATGTTAGCAGCCGGCAAGGTAATGTTAGCAGACGGTCAGGTAATGTTAGCAGACAGGTAATGTTAGCAGACGGTCAGGTAATGTTAGCAGACAGGTAATGTTAGCAGACGGTCAGGTAATGTTAGCAGACAGGTAATGTTAGCAGACGGCCAGGTAATGTTAGCAGCCGGCTAGGTAATGTTAGCAGCCGGCTAGGTAATGTTAGCAGCCGGCAAGGTAATGTTAGCAGCCGGCAAGGTAATGTTAGCAGACGGACAGGTAATGTTAGCAGACGGACAGGTAATGTTAGCAGCCGGCAAGGTAATGTTAGCATCCGGCAAGGTAATGTTAGCAGCCGGCAAGGTAATGTTAGCAGCCGGCAAGGTAATGTTAGCAGCCGGCAAGGTAATGTTAGCAGCCGGCAAGGTAATGTTAGCAGCCGGCCAGGTAATGTTAGCAGACAGGTAATGTTAGCAGACAGGTAATGTTAGCAGACAGGTAATGTTAGCAGACAGGTAATGTTAGCAGACGTACAGGTAATGTTAGCAGACGTACAGGTAATGTTAGCAGACAGGTAATGTTAGCAGACAGGTAATGTTAGCAGACAGGTAATGTTAGCAGACAGGTAATGTTAGCAGACGTACAGGTAATGTTAGCAGACAGGTAATGTTAGCAGACAGGTAATGTTAGCAGCCGGCAAGGTAATGTTAGCAGATAGGTAATGTTAGCAGACAGGTAATGTTAGCAGACAGGTAATGTTAGCAGACAGGTAATGTTAGCAGACAGGTAATGTTAGCAGACAGGTAATGTTAGCAGACGTACAGGTAATGTTAGCAGACAGGTAATTTTAGCAGACAGGTAATGTTAGCAGCCGGCAAGGTAATGTTAGCAGATAGGTAATGTTAGCAGACAGGTAATGTTAGCAGACAGGTAATGTTAGCGGACAGGTAATGCTAGCAGCCGGCCATGTAATGTTAGCAGCCGGTCAGGTAATGTTAGCAGACAGGTAATGTTAGCAGACAGGTAATGTTAGCAGACGGACAGGTAATGTTAGCAGACAAGTTATGTTAGCAGACAGGTAATGTTAGCATACAGGTAATGTTAGCAGCCGGCAAGGCAATGTTAGCAGACAGGTAATGTTAACAGACAGGTAATGTTAGCATACAGGTAATGTTAGCAGATAGGTAATGTTAGCAGACAGGTAATGTTAGCAGACAGGTAATGTTAGCAGACAGGTAATGTTAGCAGACAGGTAATGTTAGCAGACAGGTAATGTTAGCAGACAGGTAATGTTAGCAGACGTACAGGTAATGTTAGCAGACCGGTAATGTTAGCAGACAGGTAATGTTAGCAGCCGGCAAGGTAATGTTAGCAGATAGGTAATGTTAGCAGACAGGTAATGTTAGCAGACAGGTAATGTTAGCAGACAGGTAACGTTAGCAGACAGGTAATGCTAACAGCCGGCCAGGTAATGTTAGCAGCCGGTCAGGTAATGTTAGCAGACAGGTAATGTTAGCAGACAGGTAATGTTAGCAGACAGGTAATGTTAGCAGACAGGTAATGTTAGCAGACGGTCAGGTAATGTTAGCAGACAGGTAATGTTAGCAGACAGTCAGGTAATGTTAGCAGACGGTCAGGTAATGTTAGCAGACGGTCAGGTAATGTTAGCAGACAGGGAATGTTAGCAGACGGACAGGTAATGTTAGCAGATGGTTAGGTAATGTTAGCAGACAGGTAATGTTAGCAGACGGACAGGTAATGTTAGCAGACGGACAGGTAATGTTAGTAGCCGGCAAGGTAATGTTAGCAGACGGACAGGAAATGTTAGCAGACGGTTAGGTAATGTTAGCCGACAGGTAATGTTAGCAGACGGACAGGTAATGTTAGCCGACAGGTAATGTTAGCAGACAGGTAATGTTAGCAGACGTCACAGTAAAGCTAGTTTTTATCGTTGTAATGTTAGGCAATGTCAAATTAAAGCTATGCGTTACTAAGATAACCCCTGCTTTTGGACAGATAACTCTTGCGTCTTTTAACTTCCGGTCCACTTTCGTAACTCCCGCTCAATTTCCGTACACGCTATTTATAATTTGACCTATCCGCACCGAAAACACATAAACGTAATGGATGCAAAAAGCCATTGAATGGTTGAAGGAACCACATTCAGAATACATTAGGGGATGGTATACCTGATTGATTTTGTGTACTTAATGAAAAATTAGATTTTTTGTGCATCTGAAGGAGAGAGACACATGGAAAGATACAGAGAGAAAGAGAGAGAGATGGTGAGGGAGACTGAGAAACAAAGATGGAGAGGGAGAGGTAGACACAGATAGAAGAAAATAGAGAGGAATTGAGAGAGAGAGAGAGTGTGTGAGAGAGAGGCACATGCAGACAAGTACCCACACAGACCTCCAAAGGTCAAATCTTTGCAAAGGTCACATCCGGTTGTCGTGTTCACATCACTTCCGGAAGGTCAGACTCTAAAACATTCTCCTCCGTGGAGATTTCTAAACTCCTGAACAGAATAGTAGCAGTAGCCCTTAGTGAGATCCCGGGGGAGTGGGGACCGACAAAAAGAAGATTTATTAAGGACTACGGTCATCACGTGACCGGGAGACTGTACCGGAGCTTAGAAACCACATGTGGACGTCAGTAAATGAGTTACGTCACGCGTTGCAATTAGGCCTGGACTCTTAATTACATCTTATCAGCTGTTCTCTATATGCAGAGGTAGATACTTACACACACAAATACACACACAAATACACGCACAAATACACACACACATACACACACACGCACACACACACTCACATACACACACACAAACACACATGTACACACACTTAAGCACACACACATACACACACAAATACACGGACACTCATACACACAAACACACACACAAACACACACACACACACATATGAACTCAGGACCATTAGGCTAACTATAGCAATCACGGTAATTTAGTCGCGTTAAAAATTTTTGTATTATTAGTTTTATTGATTGAATGTAGCCAGGACGGCTAGTAATCCAATGTTTGTTGATATCTGTTTCATTGTGGACAACATGGTGATTAAAGATTATTTTCTTACATTCTAGTGCAGACGCGTAGCGGACAGCTTTATGATTAAACTTTATTTTTTCATGGTTACGTCATGGACCACATGATGATTAAAGATTATTTTCTTATATTCTATTGTTGACATCACTGATTAAAGATTATTTTCTTCCATTCTAGAGTGGACAGCAATGATTAAAGATTATTTTCTTACATTCCAGTGTGGACAGCATGATGATTAAAGATTATTTTCTTATATTCTACTGTAGACAGCATGATGATTCAAGATTATTTTCTTCCATTCCAGTGTAGACAGCATGATTATTAAAGATTATTTTCTTCCATTCCAGTGTGGACAGCAATGATTAAAGATTATTTTCTTCCATTCTAGAGTGGATAGCAATGATTAAAGATTATTTTCTTACATTACAGTGTGGACAGCAATGATTAAAGATTATTTTCTTCCATTCCAGTGTGGACAGCAATGATTAAAGATTATTTTCTTATATTCTACTGTAGACAGCAATGATTAAAGATTATTTTCTTCCATTACAGTGGGGACAGCAATGATTAAAGATTATTTTCTTCCATTCCAGTGTGGACAGCAATGATTAAAGATTATTTTCTTATATTCTACTGTAGACAGCAATGATTAAAGATTATTTTCTTCCATTCCAGTGTGGACAGCAATGATTAAAGATTATTTTCTTCCATTCCAGCGTGGACAGCATGATGCTTTTTGTGTTCCGGATGGTCTACAACCTGGACACTGTGGTCAGCTGCGCCGTCTACCTGGTCTTTGGCGACAACTTCCGGAAGGTCTTCGTCAAACTCTACTTCTCCCGCTGCTCCAAGCAGAGGTCAACTACTTCCGGCTCAGAGCAGGCCACGACCTTGACCGAGAATCTGATGAAGGACAGCGTGGTGAGCCACACGAACGGGTGCGGGAACGAAACCCGGCTGGTCAGCGCGGCGGATCAGGGCGAGAATGATGAAGAGGACGAGGAGGCACGGACGAGGAAGAGGTTGCTCGCGGCTGATGCTGTTTGATGAGACCGGAAGTAGCCAAGTCTAGGAATTATGGCTCCTTTGTCTATTTATAGCGTCAACTTGCGTCCCTTGATGCACTGGAAACTTTGTCCTTATGTCTAATATACAGCTACAATATCCTATATCCCAACGCCTTCTCCTAAAGTGTGTATTTAAATACCACTGGACCTTACACAGCAAACACGACATTTAAAATCTAAACTCCTAATACGAATATTTGTGACATAAACTTCCTGGATTTTTATTCTGTCAGGAATTAGATCGACGTGTTTGTTTATAAAATCCAAGCGCAAAGTGATGTAACTACAACACTTTCAAACTACTGGATGGACATTTGTACTCCGGGCAACAGGTTTTTGCTCACCATAAAAGAAAGAAGGTTCGCATTCATTTCGTCAACATATCTGCAGCTAGTTCAGCTAATGAGATAAACAACTAAACAGAAGTTTTGTTTATATATTCGGTAAAACATCGACCACTACCAAGACTATTCATAATAAAATATATTAGTGCATATATCAAACACCAATGGTGTGGAGTGGATTCGCATAACTATATAATATACGCTGTGGAACTTATTCATACAATAATCAAAACTAAAAGCTATGGAATATATAATTACAAAAATCAAAACTATAGTCGAAACATGCGGCGTCACTGAGTTGTTTGACTGTTCTGTTGTGATTGGTGTTCAGCAGATTAGAAACTAACGGGAGTCACTGACTCTCTATTCATTCAATCTCTAGTCACTGACTCTAGTCGCTGACTCTAGTCGCTGACTCTAGTCGCTGACTCTAGTCGCTGACTCTGGTCGCTGACTCTGGTCGCTGACTCTGGTCGCTGACTCTAGTCGCTGACTCTAGTCGCTGACTCTAATCGCTGACTGTAGTAGCTGACTCCATCACCTCTGGAGCTAAGACGCCGAGTCACTCAGATACAAATCGATGGAGCATTTAACTACTAGGTTTGTAGTTTCACATATATTACCTTGTGTGGTTGCATCCACATACCACATCCCATACATTATCTTGTGTGGTTGCATCCACATACCACATCCACATCACATACATTATCTTGTGTGGTTGCTTACACATACCACATCCACATCAAATACATTATCTTGTGTGATTGAATACACGTACCACATCCACATCACATACATTATCTTATGTGATTACATCAACTTACCACATCCACAACACATACATTTTCGTATGTGATTGCATACACATACCACATCCACATCACATACACTAATCCACATTCCACCATCCACATTCCACAATTCAAATACCCTTGTAAAGTTTGGATAATTCTGTCAGTTAATATAACCATCACTGTAATGTGATGTTTTCTCATTAACGTGTGCGTCTATATAATCTTCATTATTGTACGAATTAAATGTAATGCACTTTGGAGTGTGAATTTATTCAATCTGTGTTGTGCTCTATGTAAAGTCTCCTTTACAGAACAATGTACATGGAACATCTCTTTATGTGTGAACAATTGTCATAACTAAAATGTAAATATACACCAGAAATTAAAATGTAAAACTGTACCTAACAATAAAATGTTGTCGAATATTTTCTTCATTAACGTGTACACGAACACATCGTCGCTTCAGTTGACAAATTTAATCGTGATCGACTGTCAAATTTTGATGAGAAAATATAATAAATGCAGTTAATAATGAGTGTATGATAAATTACATTGAGCGTTGTGTTGTATTAAATTATATTGAACTCTATTACTTTAGGTTGTCTTGCAATACTTTTTGCGGCCTAGCAATAGTATGTAGTGTACGTGTACAAATACGTGCGCATGTACACCAAGAAAGTTTTGGCAACAACCTATTACTAGTATCTGGCAGCGAAGCTTGAGACCATTTAAAGTAATTTAATGGGTGTATTTTGAACTTGTCGCCTTGTTCCACTATAAAAAAAAACCAAAAAAAAAAAAACCACAACAGTTCTGCTCGAATCCTCTAAACGAATAATGTAATTAGGTTAGGGAGGGCTTATCGAGCACAGTGATTGGTGAGCTTCAGTCACGTGACGAATGAGCAGCCAACCAAATAACTCGCATTTAGTCAGATGATTTTTTTAAACATTCTCCAGCCAAACTGACAGATAAAATCTTGAAGTAATCCAGTCGGTGGCGTACAAGCGTGGAACGAATTTGAATCAAGTTCACGGGCCCCCGAAGTCCCAGGGCCCCCCGGGATTTTTAAGTAAAAAAATAGAATGTTCGGGAGAGATTTAACACTTTGTATTTTGTGTTTTAGAAGAAGAAAGTACTCGGAGGCATGTCTGTTCTATCGATTTGTGAAATGTCATACAGTGTTGCAACTTCTCCTGTTATGAGTTAGCAATGTGCAGCATACAACTGCATCATACAACTTCATCACACAACTGCATCATACAACTTCTCCAATTCATTTTATGTGAATTGTGCATCATACAGCTTCATCAAACAACGTCTCTAATTCTGTATGTGCACTGTGCACCATACAACGTAATTCTTGTAATCATCTAATGTATTGGTGTTATTACGTTTTGAAACCGTGTCTGAAATCATTTCGTTTAGAGGTAGTTTGTACAGTGACTAACGTCTTCAGGATCTAGAGTTAGCTTTCTTGAGTCAAGTAGTTTTTAGCTCTTGAACTCAAAGCAAAGCTTACAAGTAGCTTTAATGGCTCTGGCGTAACGTCATCTATCCCAGATTTGGGTGCTGTATGTGTGCTGTGTGTCACTTGACCACTGCCAGTGTATTACTCTCACACTTCATATTTGTCACTCCCCACTGCTTGTGTGCTGTGTGTCAATCTCCCATTGCCTATATGTCACTTCCCCACTGCCTGTGTATCACTCTCCCACTTCATATTTGTCACTCCCCACTGCCTGTGTGCTGTGTGTCACTTTACCACTGCCCGTGTATCACTCTCCCACTTCATATTTGTCACTCCCCACTGCTTGTGTGCTGTGTGTCAATCTCTCAGTCACCGCTGCTAGTTAGGAGCGACGTAACTCCAAACTTAAAATCATAAAGACGTGTCTTAGATCAACTCTCTCACAATACCGGCTTGATAATATTTATTTTAATTCGGTTTATGTCTAATGTCAAAAGTAAATGACTTAGTAGAGACATTTGCTAAAAGTAAAGCTAGAATAGTGAAATTACCGAAGTTATTACTTCCGCTATGCCATTTTCTGTTGTTTTTTCTTAAATCGTCAAAGATTTATAACCGATGTAAGTTTAGAATTAATTGATCTTAAGTCTGTCGTGGTATTTGATGATCTGAAGTCTGTTTTTGTTCAATTCGTAAAAATTAGAAATCAAAAGTCTGCTCCGTCCTTGTTTGATATTCTAAGGAGTAAAAATTTTTATTTGTTGGGGGAGGGGAAACAGGGTAGGGTAGCAAATGGAACCTCAAACTAATAACTGTCGCTTGTGAGTTATTGTTTAGAGAATGCAGAAAATATTGGGCACTGGCTAGGTTTGGGGTAGTAGAAAGGTTAGGGGGTAAGGATTGGGGTAGGGGTAGTAGAAAGGCAGGGGTATACGTATACGCTAAAGCATACATGTAAAAATGACCATTTTTACAGCTCAATGTGACCAGCTCCATGTGACCAGCTCTACAGCTCCATGTGACCAGCTCTACAGCTCCATGTGACCAGCTCTACAGCTCCATGTGACCAGCTCTACAGCTCCATGTGACCAGCTCTACAGCTCCATGTGACCAGCTCTACAGCTCCATGTGACCAGCTCCATGTGACCAGCTCTACAGCTCCATGTGACCAGCTCCATGTGACCAGCTCTACAGCTCCATGTGACCAGCTTTATGTGACCAGCTCTACAGCTCCATGTGACCAGCTCTACAGCTCCATGTGACCAGCTCTACAGCTCCATGTGACCAGCTCTACAGCTCCATGTGACCAGCTCTACAGCTCCATGTGACCAGCTCTACAGCTCCATGTGACCAGCTCTACAGCTCCATGTGACCAGCTCTACAGCTCTATGTGACCAGCTCCATGTGAACAGCTCTACAGCTTCATGTAACCAGCTCTACAGCTCCGAGCTACAGCTAAGAGCCCACCACCACATCCACAAGATGACGTCACCACCACACAATATATCAAAAAAGACGTCACGCAGTGCCGTCAAGTCAATAGGGTGTTGCAGTGGAGTCCAAATGGAGTCCTGCCGGTTGGCGTTTTTTTAAACCAAATCTGAATATTTTTATTAAATCTTTTTTTTTTAAGTTAGGAAAGCTACTTTCGCTTTTGGCTTCAAAACAAGCTCAAGTTTTAGAATCAGAATTTCATTAATTTAGATCTAGATCTAGAAATAGATAGAATCTAGGATCTAGATTCTAAATCTAGAGATAAATAATTGACTTTGCAGATTTTAATATAGATTCTAGAATCTAGATCTAGAATTTTATTTAGAATATAACCGACTCGTTAGATTTAGTTTTAGTTTTAGACTTAAGACTTAGGTGTTTACTGTTTACCAAATCGTTCAGTAGGAGTAATGTCCCCTGGGGCTAGGCTTGCTAGGTCTTACATTAACTTTAAAAAATAATTAATTTACTTACCGCCACAAAACTTTTCTGTCAGAATTGAATGCAAATACATTACTTCCCAAACGTACGTACACAATAGACTTGAAATTTTGTATATTTGTTGCATATTGGGAGTTCATGATGAGTTTAAAATGTTGAAGCGAAGTCAAAAAACAAGCAGCCGCCATGTTTTTTTTATCAATGGGAATCATGATCACAAAAATTCATTTAGTTTGGAAAATTTAATCTCTCCCTGGCGGAAGTTTTTCCAAAACTTGGAATGGATAAATGAATTAATATTATTAATTATTTCAAAAATTATTTTCAATAGTTTATCTTGAATTAAAAAACTCAAAACATGTAAAAATCGATACTTAATATTTTGTTTTAATTTTTGACAGCTAAAACATAATTTTAGCGCTTGCCAATTAATTTATATAATTTTTTGAAAAATAGCATGTTGTATAGCAAAGTATTACTGCAACACCCTATATTACAACATTGTTATAAAATGTCAGCTGAATCTACAAGGGGAGGTACGCAATAAAAACCTGGAAACATTAATTAATTCCGTTAATGAATAAAGATTATTTACCACACGAATTTACCGTTATCAGATAATCCACAGGACGTGTGGCCACTACACAACATGACCACTACAGATTCGATCTATCAATGGATCTAGCACCACGGTAATGTGTTAATTAGATTGGCCCATCAGATTTAACACTGTCTACACCCACCAATTCGATCTTTCAATGGATCTAACACCGCGGTAATGTGTTAATTAGATTGGCCCATCAGATTTAATACTGTCTACACCCACCAATTCGATCTATCAATATATCTAGCACCCCCGTCAACACGCTAACGTGACTAATGCTAACAAGTCCAGCGCTGCTAAAATATGTAACACGTTTAATTAATTAAATACATATTATTTAACGCTCTGAGTCAGGTTTGGTTTCCAAATGATATGTATTAGTTTGGATTTTAGTTTACCTTTGTATATGATATAATTATATACTATATATATATATATATATATATATATATATATATATATATATATATATATATATATATAAATCCTACTGAAACTATATAGTTTAGATCAAATAACAACGCCTTAACTAGTTCGACTAAATACCTTGTAAATAACAGTAACAATAACAACCCACTAATCCTAACGTGGTATAGCGTCAACTGAAAGACTTGAAACTCCACAGTGCTGTCATCAGTTTGTCGTGGATTGAATTTCCGAGACCCACGTGATGTGTACACTATATTAACATTTACTAGAACATTAGAAAATCGATGTTTAAACGGCATTTGATAGCTAAAGCTTTTTTTTAATGTAAAAAATAGAAAGATTGCAGGAAACGAGATAGAAACCACGAAAAAATAAATTGGAAATAAGAATGGCTATCCAGAATGTCGTATCAGTAAAATACAGTCTCGAAATAATGAAATTCTATGTTGAATTTTTTTCTAGTATATTATACAAGAACTTCATTATAACAGAAAGAACTATGGAATATAAATAAAACGGGGTTTCGGTTCAAGTTATGTTAAGATCTAGTTTAGATTCCTCATTTTTATTTTCTCGTATACAGAGTGTATAGAAAGTATTGTAATCGTGCAGAAAAAAAATCGAGATTTTCGCAAATCTCGACGTTTTACACCTTCCTGAGTCGGAAAAACATAATTTTGCAATCGTTCACCGTGTCTGTGTGTGTATGTGTGTGTATATATGAACCTCTAACCTCACCATGAACATATATATAAGCCTCTAGCCCCACCATACAAGTCTAAATGAACTTCCACACCTCACCATAAAGATCTACAAGAAAATCTAATCCTACCATACACGTCTATATGAACCTCTACACCTTACTCTAAAGATCTAAATGAACCTCTAACCCCACCATACAAGTCTATGTAAACCTCTACACCTTACTCTAAAGATCTATATGAACATCGATATTAACCATAATCTATAAAAATATCTACCTTAACCATAAAGATCTATATGAATATCTACATTCACCATACCCCCTGGACAGTTTTTGTCTGATCTCTCTCCTCATGTGGCATATGGACCATATTAATATATCCATATACGGTCAACACGTGACACGAACAGCCTACTCTGTCAGGCTTTAAATAGAGCTGAGTGTCAGCTCAGCAACACACCAGACAACAGACCTGGGTATCACCTGGAATTTTGTCAATTTGCTGGTTCCTACTGCAAGTCTCATCATCAGGTACAGTCAAAAGTTTGTTGTACATCCAGGTATTCAGGTGAAGTAGATTGTATACGTTTGTACACTGCGATTAATGTCTAATTTTACTTAGTCTAATTCTTTAAATTTTATATCATGTTTGATAAATGTCAAGTTTCTCGTAATCTAAAAAAAAAGTGTCGAGTTTTCTAATGTGTGAAAATAACAAGTTGCGTCTAATCTGTTAATGTTCTAGTTTTTCATGTTTCATCGTGTCTAGTTTTGCCTAGTGGGAACTCTTTAGTTTTGCGTAGTGTAAAAAATGTTTCGTTTTAGCATGTGCTATAAGCTTACGGGTCGAGTAAAAAACTAAAGTTAAATAAGTTTGACTTAGTGGTGTGGACCATTGGACAAACCGACCGTATCACTAATGGACCATTGGACACACCGACCGTATCACTAATGGACCATTGGACACACCGACCGTATCACTAATGGACCATTGGACACACTGACGTATCACTAATGGACCATTGGACACACTGACCTTATCGCTAATGAACACACTGACCGTATCACTAATGGACCATTGGACACAATGACTGTTACAACCTTTCCTTTTGCTGCCTGTTGGATAGTTATACTTCGCTATACAGAGACTAGTAGCGGCACCAGCAGCACATTCAATTAGAAATAATAAAAACATAGGCAACAACTATATAAATGTGAAACACACACACACACACACACACACACATATATATATATATATATATATATATATATATATATATATATATATATATATATATATATATATATATGGGCAACAACTATAAAAATAAACAAGAAATAAATAAAAGAACAAAACTATCGTTAAACAATAAGAAATGTGCGACAACCATCAAGGAATCACCACCGTCCCAACATTTCTAGTAGGATCTGAGTTGGTAGTTCAAATATCAAACTACAAACTCTGATGGTAAAATGATTTTTAAAAACCTATATGCCCTTTCCCCATAGCGGCCGCCCTAGCTAAGAAAAAGATTGTTCTATTATCTTATGTAATACTGCAAACTTTAATTTGACCTACACGATGTATTGTCTTTTCACACAGTTAAAGACAGCATAGAAAGGCAGGCATTTTTGGAGTCACCAACAGACAACTTTGGAGTCAGCATGAGACTGAAGCTGTGGACATCAACTGGACTTCTGGTTTTGGTGCTCTTATTGCTGACGTCACGTGCGGCTGGGAGTCCCTACCAGGTGAGGTCAATCGGTTTTTACTTCTAGATGATCAGGTAAAGTATAGTGTCTGTTTATCCAGATAATCGTATAGTCTTTCGTACCACCGCTTTACCTTCAGTCTTAGATACGTTAGATTTCCTTTGAAATTGTTTCTGAACTATTTCTAGATTAGTCTACAGCTATCGACTGTTAAACTGACTCTTAAAATTGTAAAATTGTATTTTTTAAAACTTTTATTTCCTTGCAGAGAAAAATTTGCACCGAACCGACAAAAGGTAAGTTTTAAAAAGCTGAATGGTTTTAACGGTCCTTGAACGTAGCGTACAGTGCATTATATATTCCGCTGGGATGTTGTCTGGTACTTTCTACCATTGGGTCTTTGAGGTTGTGAGAAGTTCTCTACGACTGGTCACGGCAAGGATTCCGTGCAACAACCATCAACAAATGGATGACAGAATGGTCAATGTACTGAACTTGTAATAACAAAAAAAAAAAACAAAAAAAAACTTTAACGTCTCTTTTACATTGTACATCCCGTATTTGAATGCAGCCTTATCATCACAATCCATATATATATATATATATATATATATATATATATATATATATATATATATATATATATATATATATATATATATATATATATATATATATATCCCCTCTCTTGTATAAAATGTGTAACTCCCGAGGTTAAGATACCTGTACCAACATTTCAGATGTGTCTTACAATACCAAACTTTTGTTAAAATACATGGACCAACATTTTAGATGTGTCTTACAATACCAAACTTTTGTTAAAATACATGGACCAACATTTTAGATGTGTCTTACAATACCAAACTTTTGTTAAAGTACATTTATCAACATTTTAGATGTGTCTTACAATACCAAACTTGTGTTAAAATACATTTACCAACATTTCAGATGTGCCTTATTCTTGTGGTACCCGGCCGTTGTTTCCGGACTCTCGACAAAAATCTACAAAAATTTTAGGAGGTCACGACGCTGCATACGGATCGAATCCCTGGCAGGCGAACCTGTATGCAAAAATGGAAGATGAATCAACAATTCGTTTCTGTGGAGGGACTATTTTAAATGAATACTGGGTACTTACTGCCGGTCACTGTGATATGTAAGTTGATGACCAAACTTTTCTTTGGTCGATACCTGTATGCTAGTCGTTTTATTTTGGCAGTAAAATGGACATTGTCTCAGATTTTATTTCTACATGTTTTCCAATTTCAGTGATGGTGCGATCGAGTTTTTTATTTATGTTGGAGATAACTATCTTGGATATGATTATGAGGAGGAAGAACAACGGTTAACAGTGGAAAAGATTATCCTGCACGAAAAGTTCTTGCATATACCAGAAACAAACACAAGTAATGTATACTTATATCTGTTGCTGGGCATACTACCTAGCTTCGCTTACGTTTTCAATGAAAATTTGAATGATTAATTACTTAATTGGTTATTAGGTGTTATGTGGAGTGCAAAAAATTCGCAAACTTATCACTCGAACGGTAATTATAAAGCTCATTTTAGGCGAAGTTCACATATGGTCACTTTTTAGCCCTCGTCTCCTGTCTGGCCGACAGCTTTCCCATAAGACCAAATCATTTACTCAGGTCTTTAAAAAAATGAGCCAGATATACAAATGTGAGCGGCTGGAGTGTGTTTATCTGTTATTATAATTATTTGTAACTAAGAAGGCGAATGTCGCTTTTTGTGTTCCTTTTAGGATTGTTGTGGTTTTTAGTTAAGTAGTCCGCTATTATGGCGCTGATATGATTTCGATTTTACAATGGTTTGTAGCCTGGTTATTGTGTCTTGTTTATATTTTAATGTTATTATTTATGCAAACTTTGTTTTGGATTGTTGCTCCACTTTGCTTTATGTCCTGAATGTTACTTATTATTGTATTAGGGACTATTTTCTTGTGCGTAGCATTGGTTTCTTTGTTCGTAGTATTGGTTTCTTTGTTCGTGAATGTGGTGTGTCGACATGGAGGGACATTCTGCTGGAATGTCGAGGCCTGTGTGTTGAAGAGTTTCTGTGTCACGTTTATGTGGTGTATGGTAACGTAGGGTTATTTTTATAGTGTTTTATTATGTTTTCCATATTTTTGTTTGCTTATTTTGTATACAAAGTGACTATATACTAGATCTATTTAGTCACTTCGACTTTGAGAAGTTTCAATGTTTCTTTTATCCAGACCACGTGTAGCACGATGGCCTGGGTTTAGTCATGGATTATTGTAGATTTTACTTTCATTTATGAGAGCCTCTTGTTTAGGCTGACAATTGTGTCAGCTTACTGCCTTGTGTATAACTTTTTTTTTACATTTTAAATTGATTTGTCTTGTTTTCCTTTTTCTAGGACGAAGTCCGAAATTGGGTGTTTTGTTTGATGTAAAAAGTTTGTTTCGTTTGGTTCTGTTTTGTGTCAGTTGTTATCTATTCTTTTTTTATAACTTTTGGTTCCATATTTTGCTAAATAAATTTTATATTATTTGTTAAAGCTTTTGTCTTATTTTAGTATTTTATTTAGACTAAGGTTAGGTTATTAACCAGCCTGGGTTTAGCCGGGCTTGCACTGACCGGACAGTAGTTAGTTAGATAAGCCTAGGGAAGGGTAGAATAGATTTTAAGGTATCCCCCCCCCTAGCAGGGCTTACACAAAGTAACGTAAAAGTTGTTTTGAAAATAGTCATCGTTTTTCACTAAATTAAGAATGTTTATGTAGGGAATTCGGATTGGTCACGTCTAAAGGTCTTCCGAAGTTTTTCCGTAGATAACATCGTTTTTTTACCCTCGCGGGTATTTCTACGACCTCATGAGTTATGATGGAGTTCCTACGTGGGATTTTTTTTTTACTTTCTCGTATATACGAAGTATAGAGAAAGTCTTGTAATCGTGCAAAAAAAATCGAGATTTTTACAAATCTCGACGTTTTGCACCTCTTTGATACGTAAAACATAATTTTGCAATCTTGTCCTTATGTCTGTGTGTCTGTCTATGTGTATGTCTCTGTGTGTGTAAACACGATAACATGAGTACCGTTACAGCTAGGTTGATGAAATTTCATATATACGTATTTTATCAAAATCGTAGATCAGCATCAACTTTTGAGCGATTTCCGATAACCGGAAGTGGTACTTTTTCTACTTTGAATTTTTCAAAAGTATATAACTTGAGTACTATTTCAGATAGATCAATGAAATTTCACATGTAAGTAAATGATCTAATTCTCTACCTTCTGTCACATTTTGAGTAATTTCCGTTGACCGGAAGTACTAATTTACGCTATTTCCGATTTCTTAAAAAAACGCATGTAAATTTATAAAGTACTAATAATATTGCGCACTATTATGCACATTTTGTTTTGGCGTTCGCTTGGTGCGCAATTCTTTTTTCTATGAGATTCTATTCTATTTTTTAAAGTTTAAGTAATTAAAAATCATGTCTACTTTCCAAGTTATATAAGAATATTCGAGAACGTTTAGGGGAGATCACTCCCGGTTTATTTTATGTTTATAATAAAGGCGCTGGTCAGTTGCGGTTAGTTTTGCCGATCGGCGTTCGCCCCCGTGTTCTATTGTCCCGGGGCCAGCACCAGCCGAATTTGAAGCGCCTGCGTCGAAACAGCATCCGGTCACTTTGCCTTGTTCCTTTGAATTTTTGTTTATTCTGAGACCGCGGCAACGCGCGGGACGGGATTGCAAGTATATATATATATATATATATATATATATATATATATATATATATATATATATATATATATATATATATATATAGACTAGTCGTCCCGGCCAGGCCCTGCACTGGCCTCCGTGAAAAACCTATCTGTAAATGGACCATGACTTTAGTGTTTAGTAATCAGCATATACCCTGCTTTCCTCGGGTTGGGGAAATTTATTACTTTTCGAAATAACCCAAACAACAATCAAACAAATACAAAGCACAAACACAAATACAAACGCAAGCATAGCCCAAACAGAAAAACAAACCAAACGAATAGACAAACGCAAACGTAAACACAAGCAAAATCACAAACACAAATAAAAACGGAAACCTAAACTCAAACAATAATGCAGAACGTAAACACAAACTTAAATGCAAATATAAGCACATAGTGCTCACAGTCTAGCCCGGGTGCCAAAATTGCACCTTACCGGGACGCGGGTGGAACATCCTGATTCAACTTAGTAACGACTACAATACTCCAACGTAGCCATAGTCTATTGCACTCAATTAAACGAACACAGGCGCCACAGCGCTAAATGAAGACCCGCGCCGCCAAATAGCATTATTGGGGAGCCGGAGGACGCCCTGGGTTCGATTTAGTGAAGGACTATAGTAAACCTTCTAATCCATAGTCTATCGCACTGTTTAAATCAAACGTAGGCGCCATAGCGCTCACGGGAAGGCTCAGGACACGAAATACCACCATGTAGGGACGCCGGAGGACGCCTTGGTTTTGTTTTGCTGAACCGTAATAGTAATCCTTTTTACCCACAGCTTATCATACTGTTTAAAACGAAATTCTGCAACATAGCGCTTACAAATAATATTTAGTAAACAGTACGTTCAGTGTATGAAATAAATAAAAGGCATTATTTAAAATATCCGTGTTTTATCTACCACATTGCAGTTTATGCAATGTTTTTTCCCAACACCAAAACAAAGTAAAAAAAAATATTTCGACGACCGTTGGAATTTCGGGGATTAAATTCAGTGTTTTTAATGGACCCACAACTTGAAAATTCAAAATAAATTAGTTTGTAGATCTGCACTTAAAATTTTTAGCTCAGTATCCCAAAATATGGTTGAAGTTATGAATTCATTCTTTATTGGACTTAACATATAATACTTTATGAATGGTGGAAATCCTACGAAGGGGTTACTTTTTCATAGTTACCAAGATTTTCGTCTTACGAGAGTAAAACTTCAGTTATAATTTAGGCTTGATGAAAATAAATAGAAATATAGACTCAACTTTTATTTTTTATTTTTTTACGGCTGTTTAAATGGCAAAAGCTAAAACATGTCAACAATAATGATATAACCCGTTTTGGTCAACTCATTGATGTCCATTCCATTTTCACTTAGGTAAATTTACGATCAGAAATGACATCGCCTTGATGAAAATCAAGCCGGTGAATGGCCGTGGGATCCAGTTCGGTAACTACGTCCAGCCGGCCTGTCTGCCTGATGCTGACACTAAACTGAAACCTGATCAAAAGTTTACAATCTCTGGCTGGGGCATGACAAAACCAGACGGTATGTTTCACTTAATGCTAGGGTTAGGAATGTGTATATTCATAACGCTTGAAGCACCGTTATCAATGGTCATTGCTAATCCTTGATGTAAACAGATGCAATCAGCCGCACTTCCACATGAACAATCACTTGACAAAACGCTCAGCTTCAGTTCTGGCTTTATTTATACTTAATAGGCCAATTAACTTAGATTCTGTCTCCCTCATTAAACGGTACTTTCTCCTTGCATTCGACCTTCAAGATTCATACAGGCTTTCCTATTATTGTACTAGCGCAGATTTAGCCTCCCTTTCCTTTCAAACTCCTAAACAAGACTTTCTTGCTTCTCAAAAACGTAGATGAAACAAACTAAGCTTTCTCTCCTTGGCAACACAAAAAGTCACTATTTTACATATTGCGTCATGATTCCTTGCATTCATTATATATGCACTAACATTCATTTGCACCCAACTACTCTCAGATTTATACAGACCAAAATTACCCCCCCCCCCCCCACCCCCCAATCCAACAAGCTAGTGGTGTAAGCTTTAACTCACATGCAATACTTTAATACAGTTTTGTTCTGTCCTGACACACTATCACTAACAAAGGCACCTATGATTTTTTGCTACACTTGTCCATTTTCAACATATCTATCTATCTATCTATCTATCTATATACTATTAAAACTCAAGTTTGTTTACAAGTTTGTATATTTATTTCTTTTTTGTGTTTTTTTTTTGTCTTTTTGGTTACATGAGAGAATTTACACTAGGTGTAGAGCTGTGTAGAGGTGTAAAATACGTATTTATGTGAAAAACAATGTTCTCTTTTACCGAACTGTTAATCACAAATTTATTTAAAGACGCTATTTAATTTATTGATATATTCATTGGTAGAAACACCACTTTAATTATAAAAGTTCAGAACAATTACTTTATTTATAGGGACGTCATGTGATTAATTATTTTTTTTACAATATGCAAGGTGGCTACCAAGGAAGATCTTGATGCCCATTAAAAAGTCTAACCCGTTATAACATTAAATTTTCTGTTTGAAATTTTAATTAGGTTTCAACAATATTATCAATTTTTATTAGCATACGCGGGGCAGTTCTTCTAGTTTCACTATGAAATAAATTTATCTAGCCTAGATCTCTAGAGATTCTAGTTCTGCCAATAGGCCAAACATGAATTAGATCTAGAGCTAATTAGTTACAAACAAAAAACGCAATAAATAATTGAGTTTCTTTATTAAACTATTTTAGTTCTTAAATATTTGATATAAATCATTGCTTTTTAGCTTCAATGATCATCTATTTCGAGAATACAAGGTGTTACGTCCAGTGTTTCTTCCAGACTTTTTTCTCCGGGGGGGCACTTGAAATTTTCGGTGGGGGGCGGTAGACTTTCTTCGGGGGGGGGGGGGTCGGACACTGTTAAAAGTATATATTTTCTATATAAATTTCATTTCGTTCGGGGGGGGGGGGCGGTAAAAAAATTTCGGGATTACAATACATAACACACGGGGGTAACTACACACTAAGGTAAACTCAACTCACACACGCACTCTCCCCTAATTTCGAGACTATTTTAACCTATTCTAATCTGACCTCACAATGACCCGTAACACAAGGGATTCATCTATCTCTAGATTCTAGACCTAGAGCTACGGAAAAACTAGACTTAAGCCAGCCGCAGATTCTAGATCTTGATCTATATATATAAAACTTTGTTTTGCTATGGAATGGGCTAATATTGGATATAATTTAATTTGAAATAATATGCCTATTCGTCTAACTCAAGTTTCTAAATAAAATTTTACACCTAATCGGACGTGCCCAGATAGCTGAGTTGATATTGTAATAGTTACCATGCGGGCGGTACGGGTTCAAGACATATATCGATGTGAATTTCTTTTAAATATGAATGCTAAAGTTGCATATCGGGACTTGGCGGGACACGGGGCAGGTGAAATAGTTTACCTGTTTCTGTTTTCTCAGCATATGAAGGGAGAGTGTGGTCAGACACATGCTCCGCCGAAAGAGGTGTTTTTAAAAGACAAAAACATGTTGCCTAAGGTCTGACGTCTTTTTTAATGTGGGGTTTGACTACTTATTGTGGAGGTGTGTGACAGTAAGAAAGGAAGGAGAAAGATAACATTCGTCAAATGAACATAACGTCGATTACGGATGACCCTCAAAAACACACGACGGTTATTCGAGAATAACGGGTAGTCTAGTTACATCTAAAAAGAACCTCCAGTGAACAAATCAAATTGAATAAATCTATGTGACTCAGGATTTCGATATTCTACTGCTACAAAATGAAACATTCTTTCATCGACTTATCCTGCTAAACTTGTCTTTTACGTTATGTGTGTTTACAAAACAAAATGTCTACTTCAAAGACTGATAGTCGAACAGGGGTAGATTCATCTGTCACTGGAAGTCTAGTGTTTAATTGTTTAATTATGTTTTAAAATCATACCATTGTATAATGTAGATTAATTCTGGGGAATTAAAAAGCTGAATTCAGTTTGATCTCTTGTTCTTAATTGATATAGTTTCACCGGACACCTTGCAAGAAACACTGGTTACACTCAAAGACACATACGGCTACTGCACATTTAATAAAAAAGACAAAAATTACAACCCTGACTTGATGTTATGTGCGCCAACATTAAACAACAACACATGTCGGGGCGACAGTGGCGGGCCTTTAGTTGCCAACGTCAATGGTGAGTTAAGACGGAGATAATTTGACAATGATATCATTTATCCATATATATATTGTACTGATATACTTTGTCCGTGAGATCATTTGTTCTTGATCATTTGTCCTCAAGATAATTTGTCCTGATGTCATTTGTCCTGAGATCATTTGTCCTGAGATCATTATCCTGAGATATTTTGTCTGAAATCATGTGTCCATTATATCATTCGCCCTAAGATCATTTGTCTGTGAGATATTTTGTCTGGTGTATTTTGCCTGAGATCATTTGTCCTGAAATAATTTGTCATGCAACTATATATATATATATATATATATATATATATATATATATATATATATATTATTATTTTATATTACACAAACACACATATATATAATTTTGCACACACACACACATGTATATATATATATATATATATATATATATATATATATATATATATATATATATATATATATATATATATATATATATATATATATATATATATATATATAAAACACATATGTATATATATATATATATATATATATATATATATATATATATATATATATATATATAACGTGAAAGTGTGTGTGTGTGTGTGTGTGTGTGTGTGTGTGTGTGTGTGTGTGTGTGTGTGTGTGTGTGTGTGTGTGTGTGTGTCTCCTATATGCATTACTACACATTTAGTCATATCGCTATGAAACTTTTGGGAGTTCATGAGATCATTCCTGGGAGGGTTTCTGCAAAAAGAATGTTTAACATTTCGCAGGGGTGGCGTCCCAACAGGGTGCTATTTTGCGCCCCGAGGTTTCCCGTGAGCGCTATGGCGCAAACGTTCATTTTAAAGAGTGCAGTAGTGTAGTTAAACTCGTGTCCCGATATTTATGATCCAAGTGCAGGCATTGTTTACGTTTAAATAACTTAGTTTTAGAAAACAAGGTCACGCGTCTTAGTACACAGGATTGGTAACGCATTGCTGAAACCCTTTTCATATATTTCATAAGACTTTCTTCTATTCCCGCGGCAACACGCGGGGACGGGTGCGTTAGTTAGTAATAATAAATGTGGCCCAATACAAATGTACATTGAAATTTATCAGATTTTCTTTTTAAATAAAGAATTTATAAGTTTCAATAAAAATGTACATTGAATTTTATCACCGCGTGTTTCTTTGAATTTTTGTTTATTCTGAGACCGCGGCAACGCGCGGGACGGGATTGCAAGTATATATATATATATATATATATATATATATATATATATATATATATATATATATATATATATATATATATATATATATATATATATATATAAAAGAGTGTTCCACATTTGTTTATGGCCGTGTGCGCTTCCACATTGGCAGGCTGTCGCGTCGGGCAAATAAAACACGGAAAAAAAGTTGATCGTCCGTAAAATGAAAGCGGATTGCGAATGACCAAAGCCTTATATATTAATCTATATATCGATAAAAAAATACCCTCGACTACTCCCCGTGATACTTTGTCAGGTTGTAGACCAGAAAAAAAAAACTAGATTTTCCTATTTTATTTCTATAGGTGTTTACCAAGTGTTTGGTGTGACGTCGTATGGATTCGGGGAATGTAAATTTGTGGTGAGTTACTTTACCAAAGTACAGGCTTACTTGGACTGGATTTATTTTAACATCATGAACAACAGCGAGAATGACGGTGAGAAATTCCTGCCATCCAGTCCAACATTCCAAAAGATCATGTAAATTTTGGCAGTTTTGAAAATACAAAGTTTTCCTATTTCTTTTTATACGAATTCTTTAAAAAATATGTATATTTAAAAACACTCTTTAATAAAAATTTAACTGGCGGGTATTTTGTATCTAAAAAGACTCTGTGTAAAAACGAAACAAGTTCAATTAATATGTATGTTACATTTTTTTCGTAAACCTAAAATTGGACTCTTAAATAATAAATAAAGCCTAATAATATTGATTTCACACTCTAGAGTTGTTTTTTTTTTATTAATTATGTTGCTATGGAAACTTTAAACTTTAATATTGCTGTAAGTGGTTTGGTCAGTAAGATACAGTTGGTTGTGGGAGATTTGGTCAGTAAGATACAGTTGGTTGTGGGAGATTTGGTCAGTAAGATACAGTTGGTTGTGGGAGATTTGGTCAGTAAGATACAGTTGGTTGTGGGAGATTTGGTCAGTAAGATACAGTTGGTTGTGGGAGATTTGGTCAGTAAGATACAGTTGTTTGTGGGAGATTTAGTCAGTAAGATACAGTTGGTTGTGGGAGATTTGGTCAGTAAGATACAGTTGGTTGTGGGAGATTTGGTCAGTAAGATACAGTTGGTTGTGGGAGATTTGGTCAGTAAGATACAGTTGGTTGTGGGAGATTTGGTCAGTAAGATACAGTTGGTTGTGGGAGATTTGGTCAGTAAGATACAGTTGGTTGTGGGAGATTTGGTCAGTAAGATACAATTGGTTGTGGGAGATTTGGTCATTCAGATACAGTTGGTTGTGGAAAGATTTGGTCAGTAAGATACAGTTGGTTGTGGGAGATTTGGTCAGTAAGATACAGTTGGTTGTGGGAGATTTGGTCAGCAAGATACAGTTGGTTGTGGGAGTTTGGTCAGTAAGATACCGTTGGTTGTGGGAGATTTGGTCAGTAAGATACAGTTGGTTGTGGAAGATTTGGTCAGCAAGATACCGTTGGTTGTGGGAGATTTGGTCAGTAAGATAGTGTAATCAGGTGAACTCCCGAAAGCGCCCCTCTACGTCCCTGACACAAGAGCAGTCATCGAAGTGTGTTCTACCTCCTTATTTCGGTGAGTGATTAACGTACACTCAAAGTTTTTAATGCTCTAGCGTAGGTAAACCCGTATCCCTATATTTATGATTCAAGCGCAGGCATTGTTTACATTTAAATAACTCAGTTTTAGAAAACAAGGTCACGTGTCTAAGAATATAGGATTGGAAACGAATTGCTGAAACCTTTCTTATATATTTCGTCATACTTTTTTCTATTCCCGCGGCAACGCGCGGGGACGGGGACGCTAGTTGTAAATAAGGGTTTGTAGCCTTGTTTTATTTTGAAAAAAAAACGGGAGTGATCTCCCCTAAACTTTCTCGAATATTCTTATATAACACTACGGGGGATGACAACTCGGGTTATAGACAATATTTTAAATCCATTTTTAATCACTTAAAATTTTAAAAATGGTGTAGCAACTCGTAGAAAAAAGAATTGCACAGCAAGTGAACGCAACATAAATTGTGTATAGTATTGCGGAATATTATTAGTACTTTATAATTTCACATGCATTTTTTGAGAAATCGGAAATAGCCTAAATTACTACTTCCGGTCAACGGAAATTACTCAAAATTTGATAGAAGGCAGATAATTTGATCTTTTACTTGCGAAATTTCATTTATCTATCTGAAATAGTACTCAAGTTATAGGCTTTTGAAAAATTGAAAGTAGAAAAAATTCCGCTTCCGGTTATCGGAAATCGCTGAAAAGTTGATACGGATCCTCAAATTTGATATAATACTTGTATATGAAATTTCATCAACCGAGCTGTAACGGTACTCAAGTTATCGTGTTCACAGACACACATAGACACACACACACAGACAAACGGACAAGATTGCAAAACTATGTTTTTCCGACTCAGGGAGGTTTAAAACGTCGAGATTTGCAAAAATCTCAAATTTTTTATTGCACGATTTCAATACTTTCTCTATACTCTGTAGATCTATACAAGAAAGTAAAAATTGAAAATGACCTTTAGAAATCTAGATCTATATTTAGATCTATCTAGAGCCTATTTATTTGGAAAAATCTGGTAAGTTTCATTTTCTTTTCATACATTATGTTTCCGGTAGGTAGAAGATGGTTTGGTGTTGTCTGAGACTAATCTAGAGTAGATCTAGATACTAGATTCTAGATCTAGATCTAAATACTAGATCTAGATCTAGTAAATAGATCTAGAAGATCTAGTTGGCCTAACTAGAGACTATAGTAAAAGTAGCCTATCTAAACACAACACACACTAACTATTAATTAACTAACAGTACACATGATCCAGTTCAGTAACTATTACTAGATAGTAGATATCTAGATCTAGATCTAAGTAACTATCGTTTTAGGCCTTTTTTTTAGGGTAATCTATCGTTTTGGGTACGTAAAATCGCCCGCGGCTATTAATGTACGAAAACGTTACCTCATTGTCAAGGCTTTAATAGAAGTATATTGTCATATGTTTGTGTCAAATATTATAGACAAATGAATAATAAACCTAAATGGTAATCTATCGTTTTGGGTACGTAAAATCGCCCGCGGCTATTTATGTACGAAAACGTTACCTCATTGTCAAGGCTTTAATAGAAGTGTATTGTCATACTTTTGTGTCAAATATTATAGATAAATGAATAATAAACCTAAATCAATGGCTAAATATATCGATATAGGCCAGAAATTAACTTTAAACAGCAGTGTCTGAGAGCAAGATTTGCTATATAAACAGCAGCCATTTGTAAAATAGAGTGGCTTCCCCCTGAATCTGGCGCTAAAAGCTTATAAAAATAAAACTTAGACAAGATGGCTGCTATAGTAAATGAGCATGGTTGCATCTGTTGGAAACATCGCTAGTCTTCATTTATTATGGAAAAGTTTTAATACAATTGTTTAAAAACAGGTACATAAATGAATCAAGGAAACATTTTTGAATTTTTTAAAACATAAATCCTCCTCAAAACGTGAAATAATTATTAAAATTTAAGGAGTCACCTGTTTTTCACATTACAAATCGCGGGCGATTTTACGTACCCAAAACGATAGATTACCACCTAAATCAATGGCTAAATATATCGATATAGGCCAGAAATTAACTTTAAACAGCAGTGTCTGAGAGCAAGATTTGCTATATAAACAGCAGCCATTTGTAAAATAGAGTGGCTTCCCCCTGAATCTGGCGCTAAAAGCTTATAAAAACAAAACTTAAACAAGATGGCTGCTATAGTAAATGAGCATGGTTGCATCTGTTGGAAACATCGCTAGTCTTCATTTATTACGGAAAAGTTTTAATTCAATTAATTAAAAACAGGTGCATAAATGAAACAAGGAAACATTTTTGTATTTTAAAAAACATAAATCCTCCTCAAAATGTGAAATAATTATTAAAATTTAAGGAGTCACCTGGTGTTCACATTACAAGTCGCGGGCGATTTTACGTACCCAAAACGATAGATTACCCGTTTTAGTTTTATTAAGTTTTAATTATTTATTAATTTAATAAGTTAAAGGCTTTAGGCCTAATAGAAGTATATTGTGATATATTTGTGTCAAATATTAATTAATTTATTATAGATAAATGAATTTATTAATAAACCCAAATCAATGGCTAAATATATATATATATATATTATATAATTATATATATTATTATATATCAATAGGCCTATAGAAATGAATAGGCCTATAGACCAGAAATTAACTTTAAGATTTTCTATATTAACAGCAGCCATTTGTAAAATAGAGTTGCCTTCCCCTGAATCTCGCTCTAAGTTTACAAAAAAAATAACTTAAACAAGATGGCTGCTATAGTAAATGAGCATGGTTGCATCTGTTGGAAACATCGCTAGTCTTCATTTATTACTGAAAAGTTTCAATTCAATTGTTTAAAAACAGGTACATAAATGAAAAAAGGAAACATTTTTGTATTTTTCAAAACATAAATCCTCCTCAAAATGTGAAATAGTTATTAAAATTTAAGGAGTCACCTGTTTTTCACATTACTAGTCGCTGGCAATTTTACGTACCTAAAACCTAAAACTCTAAAACGATTGATTACCCATGATCCAGTCCCTTTGAATCAAAGGGCCTTTGATTGAGTAAATTAAATTAAAATTCGGTAGGCCTTAATCTATCATTGTAAGGTTTTAGGTAGATCTAGAATCTACGTAAAATCGGCCGAGACTAGTAGTGTGAAAAAAAGGTGACATTAAAATCAAAATGTGTTAGGCCTAGTTATTTCACATTTTAGGAGGATTTTGATTTATGTTTTGAAAGTTACAAAAATATTTCAAAGTTTCGTTGAAAGTTAATGTACCTGTTTTTAAACAATTGTAGTTTGTAGCCCTATTAAAATTTTATAGTAAATAATAAAGACTAACGATGTTTTCATCAGATGCATCCAAGCTCATTTACTATTTTAGCAGCCATCTTGTGTACGTTTATTTTTGTTAAAATTATAATGTAGTTAAGAGATTCAGGGGAAACCACTTTAACTTACACATGGTCGCTGTTTAAAAGTGAATATATAGCAAATCTTGCTAGCATACACTACTGTTAAAAGTTAATTTCTGGCTAATATTGATATATTTATCCATTGATGTTTTAAGTTTTATTGTTTAACGTCTTGAGTTTAACTTTAAAACTTTATCTATTCGTACTTGAAGACTAGTACTAGTAGATCTAGATTAAGTAGGCCTAAAGGAAATTAACATTGGTTAGTTGAGACCCAGCTAGGCGAAAGGGAGTAGGAAGCTTATAAACATTATAATTACTACTTACTCTCTTGGAAACTCTAGGTCCTAGATTTATTTCTAGGTCTAGCTACACTATAACTGTAACTTACTAACTAGTAACAAGACTACTACTTATTTAACCAGATCAAAATGTCTTCATTTTTATCTAAATATTTTTACTTTCGCTTCATAGATTGCAGACTGACAGTACAAAGATGATTTGATAGAAAATGTTATTAACTGTTTGTTCAAAAAATTCACCTAAAATTGTGGGCAACAGCTGAAGAACATTAGCTACAAGATGAGCAAATTTCACTGCAAGGTTCTGCGGGTTGTGTGTCTGTTTGCTTTGATCCTTAACATCTATTTTCTTGTGCGTATCTTGTCCAATGACGAGATAGTTCTGATCACCAGCCAGCTGGATATCATTTCAACCTACTACAACAGGCCCCCCACTACCAGCCCACATCCTTTTGCTCATCTATTGCCCAAAGGAATAATAAAACAGCCACAAGTAAGTCTAGGCCTGTAAGTACTCTTTAGTGAGGGATGCATGGGTCACTGAAGATACTCTTTAGTTAGGCATGGGTCACTGAAGGTACTCTTTAGTTAGACATGGGTCACTGAAGGTACTCTTTAGTGAGGCATGCATGGGTCACTGAAGGTACTCTTTTGTTAGGCATGGGTCACTGAAGGTACTCTTTAGTGAGGCATGCATGGGTCACTGAAGGTACTCTTTAGTTAGGCATGCATGGGTCACTGAAGGTACTCTTTAGTTAGGCATGCATGGGTCACTGAAGGTACTCTTTAGTTAGACATGGGTCACTGAAGGTACTCTTTAGTGAGGCATGCATGGGTCACTGAAGGTACTCTTTTGTTAGGCATGGGTCACTGAAGGTACTCTTTAGTTAGACATGGGTCACTGAAGGTACTCTTTAGTTAGACATGGGTCACTGAAGGTACTCTTTAGTTAGACATGGGTCACTGAAGGTACTCTTTAGTTAGGCATGCATGGGTCACTGAAGGTACTCTTTAGTTAGGCATGGGTCACTGAAGGTACTCTTTAGTTAGACATGGGTCACTGAAGGTACTCTTTAGTTAGACATGGGTCACTGAAGGTACTCTTTAGTTAGGCATGCATGGGTCACTGAAGGTACTCTTTAGTTAGACATGGGTCACTGAAGGTACTCTTTAGTTAGACATGGGTCACTGAAGGTACTCTTTAGTTAGACATGGGTCACTGAAGGTACTCTTTAGTGAGGCATGCATGGGTCACTGAAGGTACTCTTTAGTTAGACATGGGTCACTGAAGGTACTCTTTAGTTAGACATGGGTCACTGAAGGTACTCTTTAGTTAGACATGGGTCACTGAAGGTACTCTTTAGTTAGACATGGGTCACTGAAGGTACTCTTTAGTTAGACATGGGTCACTGAAGGTACTCTTTAGTTAGACATGGGTCACTGAAGGTACTCTTTAGTTAGACATGGGTCACTGAAGGTACTCTTTAGTTAGGCATGCATGGGTCACTGAAGGTACTCTTTAGTTAGGCATGGGTCACTGAAGGTACTCTTTAGTTAGACATGGGTCACTGAAGGAACTCTTTAGTTAGGCATGGGTCACTGAAGGTACTCTTTAGTTAGACATGGGTCACTGAAGGTACTCTTTAGTTAGACATGGGTCACTGAAGGTACTCTTTAGTTAGACATGGGTCACTGAAGGTACTCTTTAGTTAGGCATGCATGGGTCACTGAAGGTACTCTTTAGTTAGACATGGGTCACTGAAGGTACTCTTTAGTGAGGCATGCATGGGTCACTGAAGGTACTCTTTAGTTAGACATGGGTCACTGAAGGTACTCTTTAGTTAGACATAGGTCACTGAAGGTACTCTTTAGTTAGACATGCATGGGTCACTGAAGGTACTCTTTAGTTAGACATGTATGGGTCACTGAAGGTACTCTTTAGTTAGGCATGCATGGGTCACTGAAGGTACTCTTTAGTTAGACATGCATGGGTCACTGAAGGTACTCTTTAGTTAGACATGGGTCACTGAAGGTACTCTTTAGTTAGGCATGCATGGGTCACTGAAGGTACTCTTTAGTTAGACATGGGTCACTGAAGGTACTCTTTAGTTAGACATGGGTCACTGAAGGTACTCTTTAGTTAGGCATGCATGGGTCACTGAAGGTACTCTTTAGTTAGACATGGGTCACTGAAGGTACTCTTTAGTTAGGCATGCATGGGTCACTGAATGTACTCTTTAGTGAGGCATGCATGGGTCACTGAAGGTACTCTTTAGTTAGACATGGGTCACTGAAGGTACTCTTTAGTTAGGCATGCATGGGTCACTGAATGTACTCTTTAGTTAGACATGCATGGGTCACTGAAGGTACTCTTTAGTTAGACATGGGTCACTGAAGGTACTCTTTAGTTAGGCATGGGTCACTGAAGGTACTCTTTAGTTAGACATGGGTCACTGAAGGTACTCTTTAGTTAGACATGCATGGGTCACTGAATGTACTCTTTAGTTAGACATGCATGGGTCACTGAAGGTACTCTTTAGTTAGGCATGCATGGGTCACTGAAGGTACTCTTTAGTTAGGCATGGGTCACTGAAGGTACTCTTTAGTTAGACATGGGTCACTGAAGGTACTCTTTAGTTAGACATGGGTCACTGAAGGTACTCTTTAGTTAGACATGGGTCACTGAAGGTACTCTTTAGTTAGGCATGGGTCACTGAAGGTACTCTTTAGTTAGGCATGCATGGGTCACTGAAGGTACTCTTTAGTTAGGCATGCATGGGTCACTGAAGGTACTCTTTAGTTAGGCATGGGTCACTGAAGGTACTCTTTAGTTAGACATGGGTCACTGAAGGTACTCTTTAGTTAGGCATGCATGGGTCACTGAAGGTACTCTTTAGTTAGACATGGGTCACTGAAGGTACTCTTTAGTTAGACATGGGTCACTGAAGGTACTCTTTAGTTAGACATGCATGGGTCACTGAATGTACTCTTTAGTTAGACATGCATGGGTCACTGAATGTACTCTTTAGTTAGACATGCATGGGTCACTGAAGGTACTCTTTAGTTAGACATGGGTCACTGAAGGTACTCTTTAGTTAGGCATGGGTCACTGAAGGTACTCTTTAGTTAGGCATGCATGGGTCACTGAAGGTACTCTTTAGTTAGGCATGGGTCACTGAAGGTACTCTTTAGTTAGACATGGGTCACTGAAGGTACTCTTTAGTTAGGCATGCATGGGTCACTGAAGGTACTCTTTAGTTAGACATGGGTCACTGAAGGTACTCTTTAGTTAGACATGGGTCACTGAAGGTACTCTTTAGTTAGACATGCATGGGTCACTGAATGTACTCTTTAGTTAGACATGCATGGGTCACTGAATGTACTCTTTAGTTAGACATGCATGGGTCACTGAAGGTACTCTTTAGTTAGACATGGGTCACTGAAGGTACTCTTTAGTTAGGCATGGGTCACTGAAGGTACTCTTTAGTTAGGCATGCATGGGTCACTGAAGGTACTCTTTAGTTAGGCATGGGTCACTGAAGGTACTCTTTAGTTAGACATGGGTCACTGAAGGTACTCTTTAGTTAGGCATGCATGGGTCACTGAAGGTACTCTTTAGTTAGACATGGGTCACTGAAGGTACTCTTTAGTTAGACATGGGTCACTGAAGGTACTCTTTAGTTAGACATGCATGGGTCACTGAATGTACTCTTTAGTTAGACATGCATGGGTCACTGAATGTACTCTTTAGTTAGACATGCATGGGTCACTGAAGGTACTCTTTAGTTAGACATGGGTCACTGAAGGTACTCTTTAGTTAGGCATGGGTCACTGAAGGTACTCTTTAGTTAGACATGGGTCACTGAAGGTACTCTTTAGTGAGGCATGGGCCACTGAAAGTACTCTTTAGTTAGGCATGCATGGGTCACTGAAGGTACTCTTTAGTTAGGCATGGGTCACTGAAGGTACTCTTTAGTTAGACATGGGTCACTGAAGGTACTCTTTAGTTAGACATGGGTCACTGAAGGTACTCTTTAGTTAGACATGGGTCACTGAAGGTACTCTTTAGTTAGACATGGGTCACTGAAGGTACTCTTTAGTTAGGCATGCATGGGTCACTGAAGGTACTCTTTAGTTAGGCATGGGTCACTGAAGGTACTCTTTAGTTAGGCATGGGTCACTGAAGGTACTCTTTAGTTAGGCATGCATGGGTCACTGAGGATACTCTTTAGTTAGGCATGGGTCACTGAAGGTACTCTTTAGTTAGATATGGGTCACTGAGGATACTCTTTAGTTAGGCATGGGTCACTGAAGGTACTCTTTAGTTAGGCATGCATGGGTCACTGAAGGTACTCTTTAGTTAGACATGGGTCACTGAAGGTACTCTTTAGTTAGGCATGGGTCACTGAAGGTACTCTTTAGTTAGGCATGGGTCACTGAAGGTACTCTTTAGTTAGACATGGGTCACTGAAGGTACTCTTTAGTTAGACATGGGTCACTGAAGGTACTCTTTAGTTAGGCATGCATGGGTCACTGAATGTACTCTTTAGTTAGGCATGTATGGGTCACTGAAGATACTCTTTAGTTAGGCATGGGTCACTGAAGGTACTCTTTAGTTAGACACTGGTCACTGAAGATACTCTTTAGTTAGACATGCATGGGTCATTGGGTTTAGGCTAGGGCTTGTTTCTAAAAGCAAGGCATTCTTATTAACTAATTGAATATGCTGGTATGTCAAGTATCATATTAAATTAAAATATCATATCGACTATAATAATAATTATAAGCAGATTGTTAATTTTTGTACAAATAATACATGAAAGCATTTCTCTTCTATACAGTGATAGACAGATATATGAGTATTGAGAGTTTTCCCTAGATTTTGTGTTGTGTTCTGTTTTTGTTAATGAGTTCATGCTCTAAAGCTAATTCCCTTAGTCCTTTTTCTATTGTGCTTTTAATATTAGTGTTCGGGGTTCCCACAGGTAGTACTAAGGTAGAAAATGAATGAAGGACTTAGATAATACATTTTCAAACCTTTTCTAGAAAATTGTTCAATTTTCTGATCAACTTACTTACATTTTAATTCATACTTTCCAGAATGTTCTGACCAACTTGTTAACGTGTAAATAAATACTCCCCAGCACTGCAAACGACCCAAGCTAAGCCTGCAGCATGATGCGCTATCTTTCGCCTTCCACACCATGGACCCCCTGACCTGTGAGGGTGGCAACTACTTCACCTACCACAAGGGACACCTGGTCCCCAATCAAACAGAGCTCAGCAAATGGAAAGTCCGGCACTGTGCCGTGTCAGCCATCAGACGGTACTCAGACGACGACAGCTATCTGTACGACTTAGATCAGGACCCCGTCTTAGGGAAGTTTCTAGTGGAAGAAGATTTTCTTTATGTAAATTGTGAATTAGGTTCTAATGTTTATGAAGAAACTGAAAAAAATTCCCGCGACATTTCAACATTAACCAACACTGTTGTGGAGGTTACAACAAAAGAAAGTACACAAATGACAACAATATTGGAGCATTTTCTAACACCTAACTTAAACAATACCAGGTTTTATAATCATAGTTTGTCCAACTTTTCTAGTCCTGTAAGATTGAAAGCAAATTATTCAGTAGTTCTTAAAGTAGATACAAATACACATAATGGGTTAGATCCGGAAGAAACAGGAATATCGCGTCAACAAAACATAAATGTTCCTGTGTTTCAAGTGGATGGAGATACTTCTAGCAATCATGGCACCGCAGACATCAACATCACCGCAGACATCCACAGCACCGCAGATGTCAACAAGTTACCTGTGGTACCTGAGCGCCTGACTGAAGATTACCTGCCAGACTACCAGCCTCCAGACCTGTATGAGGACCTAGCCATGCCCAGACCTCTGGAACCCCAGGAGTGTTTTAGGGAGCAGTTCCTGGTACAGGTCAACCCTAAGGCAGACGTCTTCCAGCATTTCAGTAGAGTCACCAAAAGCACAGGTCCTCCAGGTAGGTCAGTCTATAGGTCACTTAGTAGGTGAAACAACAGGTCACCCAGTAGGTCAATAGGTCACTTAGTAGCCAAAACAACAGGTCATACAAAAGGTCAATTGGTCACTTAGGTGAAACAACAGGTCATACAAAAGGTCAATTGGTCACTTAGGTGAAACAACAGGTCATACAAAAGGTCAATTGGTCACTTAGGTGAAACAACAGGTCACTTAGTAAGTCAATAGGTCACTTAGTAGGTAAACAACAGGTCACTCAGTAGGTCAATAGGTCACTTAGTAGGTAAAACAACAGGTCACTCAGTTGGTCAATAGGTCACTTAGTAGGTAAAACAACAGGTCACACAGTTGGTCAATAAGTCACTTAGTAGGTAAAACAACAGATCACCCAGTAGGTCAATAAGTCACTTAGTAGGTAAAACAACAGATCACCCAGTAGGTCAATAGGTCACTTAGTAGCAAAAACTACAGGTCATACAATAGGTCAATAGGTCACTTGTTAGGTATAACAACAGGTCACCCAGTTGGTCAATAGGTCACTTAGTAGGTAAAACAACAGGTCACAATTGGTCAATAGGTCACTTGGTAGGTAAAACATCAGGTCACCCAGTTGGTCAATAGGTCACTTAGTAGGTAAAACAACAGATCACCCAGTAGGTCAATAGGTCACTTAGTAGGTGAAACAACAGGTCACCCAGTTGGTCAATAGGTCACTTAGGTAAAACATGTAACCTAGTAGGTCAATAGGTCACTTAGTAGGTAAAACAACAGGTCACTCAGTAGGTTAATAGTCGGTCAGTCAATTTTTCACATAGGTGAAACAATAGGTCACACATTTAGCCACTTTTAGGTTACATAGTAGGTGATGCAATAGGTCAAACAGTAGGTCAGCCAATAGATCTCACACAATAGGTCAGTCAATAGGTCTGGTAGAGGATCAGAAATTAAGTCATATTGTACCTAAGAAATTTTTGATGTTTTAGTTCACTGTTGATAAAAAAAAAATATACATAAAAAATATTTGAACTAAAACTACTAAAAGAAAGAATATCTTGAATTCTCACTCACAATTTTTTTTTGTCCCGATAGAGTACAATGTCCTTATGTTTGGGATAGACTCCATGTCAAGCCTGACCTTCAAGCGGAAGTTGCCTCAGACTTTAAAGTACTTGAAAGAAAAATTAGGAGCAGTCGTATTTGATGGGTACAATATTGTGGGGGATGGTACAACGCAGGCTCTCTTCCCTATCTTTGTAGGTGAGCATTCTTTTTACCTGGTAACTCAGGTATGTCAAGTTCTTTGTTGCCTGTACAGGTTGAACTTGAGTGTCTGTAGTTATTCATCAAAGTTAAATTTGAATGTCTGTAGTTATTCATCAAAGTTAAATTTGAATGTCTGTAGTTATTCATCAACTTAAATTTGAATGTCTGTAGTTATTCATCAAAGTTAAATTTGAATGTCTGTAGTTATTCATCAAAGTTAAATTTGAATGTCTGTAGTTGTACATCATAGTTAAACTTGAATGTCTGTAGTTGTACACCCAAGTTAAACTAGGACATCTGTAGTTGTACACCTAAGTTCAACTAGGACCTCTTTAGTTGTACACCTAAGTTAAACTAGGACATCTGTAGTTGTACACTCAAGTTAAACTAGGACATCTGTAGTTGTACACCCAAGTTAAACTAGGACATCTGTAGTTGTACACCCAAGTTAAACTAGAACATCTGTAGTTTTACACCTAAGTTAAACTAGGACATCTGTAGTTGTACACCCAAGTTCAACTAGGACATCTGTAGTTGTACACCCAAGTTCAACTAGGACATCTGTAGTTGTACACCCAAGTTCAACTAGGACATCTGTAGTTGTACACCCAAGTTAAACTAGGACATCTGTAGTTGTACACCCAGTTTAAACTAGAACATCTGTAGTCGTACACCCAAGTTAAACTAGGACATCTGTAGTTGTACACCCAAGTTAAACTAGGACATCTGTAGTTGTACACCCAAGTTAAACTAGGACATCTGTAGTCGTACACCCAAGTTAAACTAGGACATCTGTAGTTGTACACCCAAGTTAAACTAGGACATCTGTAGTTGTACACCCAAGTTAAACTAGGACATCTGTAGTTGTACACCCAAGTTAAACTAGGACCTCTTTAGTTGTACACCCAAGTTAAACTAGAACATCTTTAGTTGTACACCCAGGTTAAACTAGAACATCTGTAGTTGTACACCCAAGTTAAACTAGAACATCTTTAGTTGTACGCCCAAGTTAAACTAGGACATCTGTAGTTGTACACACAAGTTAAACTAGGACATCTGTAGTTGTACACCCAAGTTCAACTAGGACATCTGTAGTTGTACACCCAAGTTCCACCTGTGGGTGTTCAAAGGTTTTTGTTTCTCTGACTCAGGCCAACTTCAGCAGGAGGTGACCAACGTGACCACCCAGACGCTGGACGGAGTGGACTTTGTCTGGAAACACTACAAGCAGCGTGGCGCTGCTACCCTCTACGCTGAGGACGAGCCTGGAATTGGGGCGTTTAATTTACGTCTGAAAGGTTTCAACCAGATGCCCACTGATCACTACATGAGATACTTTTGGCAGGTAAAGTTAATTGGTTTAATTACTTGACAGGTAAAGATAATTGGTTTAATTACCTGGGTCTCTGGTAGGTAAAGGTAATTGGTTTAATTACCTGGGTCTCTGGTAGGTAAAGATAATTGGTTTAATTACCTGGGTCTCTGGCAGGTAAAGATAATTGGTTTAATTACTTGCTTCTTTAGTAGTTTCCTGATGGGTTATAGATCTAGCTTTATAATAAAACTAGGACAATACCCCTTTGTCATTTCCTCCCAGATAAATTACCCCCCCCCCCCCCTTTGAGAATACTTATTACACATGTTAATAGTCAATTGACACACTGAAATAAGTTGGCAGAACACTAAATAAATCATACTTCATACTTTCTCTAGGTAGGCCCTATTTGCTAAACCTGGTATTGCCTTTAAATTGGAGGTTTGTTTATTATTAGAATTAAATGTCAATTTTAAATCTACATTTCCTCCAGCAGTTTATTAAATATGTATAAATATCCCTTTAAGCACCAGTAACTGTATTCTTGTAGTTAGTTTAGACCCAAAGCTATTTTGGTATTTTAGACAGAAACAAAGACCAGCTAACAGAATGGCCAATTATCCCCCTTCACTCAATATTATCCCCCTTTACTGAATGCAATATCTTATTACATGACAACTTGACCAACTTGTGACACAGAGTTAACCAGGTTAAACAGGATCACACAGAGCAAATTCTTGAAAACTAGGAGTTATAGACGTGTATAGTGAGTTACTCAGGAAGTATGGGATGGTGTGGGCTTAGTGGTAGAGCGCTAGGCTGCTAACCTGAGTCTCAATTTCAAATCAGAGTACAAGTCAGCTCTAATGGGTACCTCACTTAGGGAAGTGAAGGCAGCTGGGCAAAGTGCTCACCACACCTTCTCTTCATGTGCTGTGGTTAACAAACATATGCCAAGTGGATCACTAGGTCTAAAGAGGATTTTTTTGTTTTACTCAGGGTGGTGTAGAGCATCAAGATGTTTCAAAATATCTGTTTTCAATTTTTGCACCATGACAATACTTCCTCTATACTACGTATACAATAATGTAAAAACCAATTACCTTCCAGGAACTGAAGAAGTCCAGGCTAGCGACTGAGTGCAACAAACCCTACTGCACCGGTTCAAAACCCAACCACATGTACCTGCTGGAGTACCTGGAAGATTTTTTCAACAAGTACCGCAACATTTCCTGCTTCGCTGTCGGCTATTCCTGTGAGCTGAGCCACAACGACGTCAACCCCTCCCAGTACCTAGACGCTGACCTCAAGACTTTTTTAATGCGCATGCACAGAAAACGTCACCTGACCAACACCATCGTCGTAGTGTTTGCTGACCACGGGTCAAGACGAGGGTTGGTCAGGAAGACGTATCAAGGCAAGATTGAGGAACGGCTGCCGTTTCTGTCCGTCTTTGTTCCTGAGAGTTTCAAGAAGACCCACAGGCAGTTGTATAAAAATTTAGCTGAAAACACCGACAAGCTCACGACTCCGTTTGATCTTCATGAAACATTGCTGCACATTCTTCAGTTAAATAAGGTTTGTTTTTAGCAGGTGTCTGGACATGGTACCAACCACACACACACACACACTGTGATTTTAAGTATTATAGAACATCTCTCTTGACTCCATTTTTATCATACAGATGAATCCAAATTCACAAATTCTATAGACTGTTTATACTTGACTCTATTTATTCATGATTAGAAAGTTTTAAACATTTATTAGTTAAGAAATGAAAACAGTTATTCTAAGTAACAGAATACCAGACATTGTGACCACCATCTTGTATGTTGTCACCCCCAGCATGTCAGGCCATCTACTGGAGGGTCTCGGGGCATCAGCTTGTTCCAACAGATTCCTGCCAACAGAACTTGTGCTGAGGCTGGCATTCAAACACATTGGTGAGTACATTGTTGTGTTGGTGGGTGCATTCTTGTGCTGGTGAGTGTATTTTTGTGTTGGGGGGGGTGCATTCTCGTGTTGGTGAGTACTTTCTTGTATTATTGGTGAGTACATTCTTGTATTATTGGTGAGTACACTTATAGCATGCTGGTCAGAGTACTCATGTCTTTTTATGCTGCCTTACACATGGCTCTTTACCCTTATGAAATACCAATAACATGAGTACCGTTTCTGCTATGTGGATGAAATTTCATACAAAGGTATAAGATCTTATTCATTAGATTGTTGTTTTTTTTTAATTTTAATAAATATTTGGTGACTGGAAGTAATACTTAATGTAATTTTCATATCTCAAAATAAAACCATAAGAATTTTATCATTTTATATTATACAATTTTTTAGCATCAACATATTCTACAAACTTTTTCATCACTCTATTTTCTCCAAAAAAATGGTTTTGTCTCAGAATTCTATTTTTAGCCCCTAATATAACAGAAAGTGCCATCTCACCTCTGAGTGTTGTACAAGAATATACAAAAAGTTTAGGGGAGATTACTCCTGCTTTATTTAAAATGCATTTGATTTCTTGATTTATTATTCACCTTTGTAATGATCATGTCCCTTATATTCCACTACCTTTTATCAATGCAGGTGTACCTGTGTGCAGGAGGTGCCAGCGCCTCTAGACAGTCCAGTGGTCAAGGGGGCCGCCCAGGCTGTGGTAGATGCCATCAATTCCCTGACAGAGCCTGCCAGGACCAGTTGTGTGACCCTGACCTTGAACCAGACACATTCTGCCAGTTTGGTCATGCCTAATGAGAAGGTTTGCTTTGGTTGTCTAACATGTTTGGGCCTTTTATTCATACACTAACAAATGACTGGATATAGATATGTATGACTTAAGTCATAAACCTGTATGACTGAAGCTCAAGTCATAAAACTGTATGACTGAAGCCCAAGTCATAAACCTGAATGACTGATGCCCAAGTCATAAACCTGAATGACTGATGCCCAAGTCATAAACCTGTATGACTGAAGCCCAAGTCATAAACCTGTATGACTGAAGCCCAAGTCATAAACCTGTATGACTGAAGCCCAAGTCATAAACCTGAATGACTGATGCCCAAGTCATAAACCTGAATGACTGATGCCCAAGTCATAAACCTGAATGACTGATGCCCAAGTCATAAACCTGTATGACTGAAGCCCAAGTCATAAACCTGTATGACTGAAGCATTGTCCCACTCTCCAGTCTCTAGCAGGTACAAAAAGTAATGGCTGCTAGTACTTAGTACAGACAGACACAGTCACCTAACAAACAAACCTATGGTGTAATTCCTTTACACACTAGTTAATTACACCCAAACAGTATTTTGTCTTCAAACTTTCTTGCCCTTTAGAAGAGTAGTGTCAGTTCTGTAAAACAACATTCCTGTGGACCTATCATAGAGCACAAGGACACCACATCTCTACTTCCTACTCTAATTTTGCGCAATTTCTCCAAGTTGGGCCCACAACCTTCCAGCTAGCTGCTTGTACTTCTCTGACAACTGATCTTGTTCAACTGGTTTTTTTTTTTTAATTTCTTTTCTTTCCTTAGGGATTCCAATCTATTGCTTGTCTAATGATGCTGTATGTAGGTCTGCGCAGGGTGTGTAAAATTTAGTAGACAAGTAAATCAACCAAAGATATCATGTTAAAAAACTTAACGTAGACCATCTAATTCAGTATAACATTGTGGGTTTTTCTTCAGCTACTCAAGTTTTATGAGAGCAAGGAATACGAAAAGTTTGAGATCAGCCTAGGGGAGGCAACCTTGGACATGGTAGAGTTACAGTTACTGGTGGAGACCGGCCCCTGTCAGGGGATGTTTGAGGCCACGGTGCAGGTCAAGAATCTTTTTCTTGAGGATACGGGGGGTCATACGTTGTCCTACAGTGTGGACGAAAATTTTGTTAGTCGTATCAATACGTACGGTCAGCAGTCTGCGTGTGTATGTGGCAGTCACCTGAGTATGGTCAAGTTCTGTTGTTGTCAGCAGTTTTTAAGGGGAGAGAAGATTAAAAAATGTTGAAATATTATGGTCCAAGTTTAAAAAAAAATGTTGAAATATTATGGCCCAATAATTTAAGGGGATAAGAAGATAAAAATTTGTTGATGTATTTAGGTCCAATTTTTAGTTAACGGACAAAACTCTAAAAAAACTGTAGAGATTCCAGGGGGGTGGGGGGGGGGGAGGTAGAGGATTGACTATGTTGAAATAAGTGAGTTATGGGGGTGCAATGGTGCCTTATTTATTAAAAAAGAAACCAATGTCAAATGTATCTGAATTGTGGTTGAAATATGTGGCCTGTAACATATCCCTAGTCTTTCAAAGTTGAAGCCATTAAATTAGGAACTTCTTTGAGCCTTTTATGTAAGCGGTTACAAACATTATTTTTAGCCACCAATAAATACAAACCATTATGCTATGTAGATGGAATTGTTTACAAGCTACTTGTACTATCAAAGCAGCAGGCATCAATGTACCTTAATTATTTTTAAGTTTTTATTTTTCTGGATGACATTTTTGTAACTGTCTTTTTTTTAAACTGGTAGCTTTGATGACATGTTGTTCATACCCAGAGATACCTTACATGACATTGTAGATGACAAAACACTGTCAGTGCTGACATCTGTCTCATACAACTGACATCTGGGAACCTAGTGGTGATAAACACAATTTTAGATTGTTATAGAAGTATGAACATAGTGGTGATCTGTTACAGCTATAATATTTGAGATTGTTATAGAGATAGGAGACTTGTCCTAGTGTGATCTGTTTACCAATTTGTGTTCAAAAAATTTTCATTTAATTGGATCAGTTTAATTAATTTTTTACACAAGTGTAATTTAAATCGTAATACTTAATTAGAAGATTACTCTAAGAGTTTTTTGTTCTCTAACGAACAAGCGCAACTCTGTTAAAAATTCTTGTCTATCAAATAGCCTAGCTTCTATATTATTGTTAAATAATAACAAATATTTTGGTTTGAAATATTGTTGCATAATTGTCCTCAGTTTTATTGTAGGCCATTTGTTGACTCTCCATGGTATATTACCAAATTTTCACAGCATATTTAATAATATATTCTCTATACAAGCGTGATACTATATCAGATGTTTTAATGATGTATGCAATTTTTTCATCACTGCTTAGTATTTTCTAATTAAATGGTAGAGTACTCGTTCGCTCACCTGAAAGCCTTGAGTTCAGATCCCGTGTTTATGGCCCTCAGGAAAGTAAAGGCAGTTTAGGTAGCTGGACAACTCAATATCCCAAGGTCCAAGAAACTAATGAGTAGTTTAGGTAGCTGGACAACTCAATATACCAAGGTCCAAGAAACTAATGAGTAGTTTAGGTAGCTGGACAACTCAATATACCAAGGTCCAAGAAACTAATGAGTAGTTTAGGTAGCTGGACAAATCAATATACCAAGGTCCAAGAAACTAATGAGTAGTTTAGGTAGCTGGACAACTCAATATACCAAGGTCCAAGAAACTAATGAGTAGTTTAGGTAGCTGGACAACTCAATATACCAAGGTCCAAGAAACTAATGAGTAGTTTAGGTAGCTGGACAACTCAATATACCAAGGTCCAAGAAACTAATGAGTAGTTTAGGTAGCTGGACAACTCAATATACCAAGGTCCAAGAAACTAATGAGTAGTTTAGGTAGCTGGACAACTCAATATACCAAGGTCCAAGAAACTAATGAGTAGTTTAGGTAGCTGGACAACTCAATATACCAAGGTCCAAGAAACTAATGAGTAGTTTAGGTAGCTGGACAACTCAATATACCAAGGTCCAAGAAACTAATGAGTAGTTTAGGTAGCTGGACAACTCAATATACCAAGGTCCAAGAAACTAATGAGTAGTTTAGGTAGCTGGACAACTCAATATCCCAAGGTCCAAGAAACTAATGAGCAGTTTAGGTAGCTGGACAACTCAATATCCCAAGGTCCAAGAAACTAATGAGTAGTTTAGGTAGCTGGACAACTCAATATACCAAGGTCCAAGAAACTAATGAGTAGTTTAGGTAGCTGGACAACTCAATATACCAAGGTCCAAGAAACTAATGAGCAGTTTAGGTAGCTGGACAACTCAATATACCAAGGTCCAAGAAACTAATGAGCAGTTTAGGTAGCTGGACAACTCAATATACCAAGGTCCAAGAAACTAATGAGCTCAACTTCATCAGCCTTATTTTATTTATTTTTTACTGTGCCATTCCTATTTGTTGGTTTACACATGAATCTCTCATTGTTGATTTTATGTGGCAGGATGAACTCACTAACATTCCAAAAACACAGGTAGGTAGGACAGTCCTGGTGTATGGTGGTAGGACAGTCCTGGTGTATGGTGGTAGGACAGTCCTGGTGTAGAGTGGTAGGACAGTCCTGGTGTATGGTGGTAGGACAGTGCTGGTCCAGGGTGATAGGACAGTCCTGGTGTATGGTGGTAGGACTATTTAATATTCTGGACTAACATCTATTGTCTTGGATTTTTTTAACTAATAATTTTCATAAAAACTTATAGTTTGCATTTTGTGATACTGCATCATCCATACACAAAAAACGAAGGCAAGCCCACATTGTGAATTAGAGCATGTGTTTCATTAATTTGGTGCTTAATGACCAGTTTTTTCTGTATTTTGAATGTTTTAGTGATATTTACTGTAGAGTATTTACAGGACAACAGTTTTAATTACTTGTCAAAACAAGAATTGTTCATTGTATTTCTTTTTGTGGTTTAAAATGTGGAAATTCTTATCTTGGATTATATTCTGGCATATTTTTAATGCAAGAAATACAAAAAGATAAGATTTTTTAATTCATAATTGTAAATCAATTCAAGGGTAACTTAAGTTTAATAAAAATGTCATTTTTTGTGACATTTGACTAGTGGTGTCATTTTTTGTTTATTTGAGTATTATTTTGTACATAGCATTTTAAAGTATACATAAATGGATAATATTCTAGTTTTTATCCCTGGTACAAACATACCAGAGCTGTTGATGTTATTTTTTTACTCAACACTGTCTACAATAGTGTACCTGATGATGATTAAAGTGGCTGAAATTTGGAATGGCTTACAGTACTAGTTAATAATGTATTTGATCTGTAATATTTATTGACTGGGTAAACTAAGTTTTTATTTGTGTAAAAGGTAAAAAAATAATTGTGAAAGTAATGTATGTCTTATGCAAAAAATGTGTTTATAGGTGGGAGAGATAATCAGGGGTTTGCTTTTGTTATTAAATTTTATTTTTAAAATTAAATGTCTTGTTCTTTTTTTATAAAAATTTAATTTTTTTTTTGTTGTAAAAAAACAAACTGAAATGTGAATTTGATACCAACAACTTAAATGTGGAATTATTAAAAAACAAAATGACTGCCTTTTATGGGCATGTGTCCACTATGGACAGTGGCACAAAATAATAAGGTTGTGTCATTAGATTTCTGCACAAACTGATGAGGTTGTGTCATTAGATTTCTGCACAAACTAATGAGGTTGTGTCATTAGATTTCTGCACAAACTAATGAGGTTGTGTCATAAGATGGACAAACATTCAGCCGCAGAACTACCAGACGCCGTCATCAATGCGGGTCGCTAAACATATCTTAAAGCGATTTATGAGGAATAAACTTATGTAGAGTTACAATGTTATAAATTTATTTCAGGGGAGGTAATGGTGTAGTTTTTTAAAGACACGAGGTATTATTTTGGTTATATACCCTTGAATGTTAAAAAAAAACCAAATAGCATTAATTAAAAAAAAATATTTAATAAAACATTTTTGTTTTATAATTGGTGACCTGATTTAATTTTAAAAAAAATAAACTAATCTGAGCAACATTGGGTAGCGATTTATGAGGAATAAACTAATGTAGAGTTACGTTTTAAATTTATTCCAGCGGAAGTAACGGTGTAGTTTTTAAAGACATGAAGTATTATCTTGGTTATATACCTTTGAATGTTAAAAAAACCCAAATAGCATTAGTTAAAAATTTGTTTTTTTTTTCAATAAAAACATTTTTATTTTATAGCATTGGTGACCTGATTTAATTAAAAAAAAAATAAACTAATCTGAGCAATATTTTGTAGCGATTTATGAGGTATAAACTCCCCTAATGTAGAGTTACAATGTTTTAAATTTATTCCAGGGGAAGTAACGGTGTAGTTTTTAAAGACATGAGGTATTATTTTGGTTATATACCTTTGAATGTTAAAAATAAAACCAAATAGCATTAATTAAAAATTTGATTTTTTTTTCAATAATACATTTTTATTTTATAGTTTTGGTAGGTGACCTGATTTAATTTTTTTAAAAATAAACTAATCTGAGCAATATTTTGTAGCGATTTATGAGGAATAAACCAATGTAGAGTTACATTGTTTTAAATTTATTCCAGGGGAAGTAACGGTGTAGTTTTCAAAGACATGAGGTATTATTTTGGTTATATACCTTTGAATGTTAAAAAAACCAAATAGCATTAATTAAAAATATGATTTTTTTTTCAATAAAACATTTTTATTTTATAGTAGGTGACCTGATTTTATTTTTTTTAAATAAACTTATCTGAGCACCATTATGTAGCGATTTATGAGGAATAAACTAATGTAGAGTTACAATGTTTTAAATTTATTCCAGGGGAGGTAACGGTGTAGTTTTTAAAGACATGAAATATTTTGTTATATACATTTGAATATTTAAAAAAGCAAAAAACATTAATTAAAAATATGATTTTTTTCAATAAAACATTTTTATTTTATAATTGGTGACCTGATTTAATTTTTTCAAATAAACTATAATGAGTAATATTTTGTAGCGATTTATGAGGAATAAACTAATGTAGAGTTACAATGTTTTAAATTTATTCCAGGGGAGGTAACGGTGTAGTTTTTAAAGACATGAAATATTTTGTTATATACATTTGAATATTTAAAAAAGCAAAAAACATTAATTAAAAATATGATTTTTTTCAATAAAACATTTTTATTTTATAATTGGTGACCTGATTTAATTTTTTCAAATAAACTATAATGAG